TCAGAAAATCTGTTAATACCACAATAACACCAGAGACATTATGAAAAGACATCATATTTGAAATGACAGGCCAATGAGGACACAATGGTGGGTGCAGGAACTCAGCAATCAGGGCACAGTTAAAGTAACAAAACAACAAGAGGAAAAGCACATAAGGAGCATAACTGTAAAAGATCAGCAAGTTCAGAGGCAGCAGCACTCATTCGCACTAAGAGGTCCTTGACAATGTCCTTGAAGGACTGGCAACAGTAGTCTGAACTGAGGAGCTGCTCCTTGGGGGATTATCAGGATGTAAAGTGTGGTTGTTAGATGAGTGTTCATAGCAGATAAATCAAGTATGAAAGGAACTCATCAAAACTAATACTTCTGTTAACTGTGAATCCATGGGATTCATTTATAGATAATTTTCACAGACAGAATGAAGCCTCATATTTGACTTCTCCAAAAAGGTTTCTAGCAAAAACAATTGCACTCTTTCCTACTCCTACGCAGCTTGTCATTCTAGGTTTCTCAACATCTGCTAACCTATTCTGAACTGAGCAGCTGCTATAGTTTGACCTGTAGTCAATATGGCAGAGAGTTACACACTAAAAACTTCAGTAATTGTCTCACTTCTACACTTTTTTCAAGGACAAGCTGAGATAAGCTCTTTGAGTGCATGTCTGCCATATGCTGCAGACATTACTGTAAATACTTTCAATTTCAAGTTGTCTCATACACACATAACCCTAACCTTTGACAGGCTGAATCCATTCATCACTTAACTAAAAAGCTTTTTCCATTTAAACTAAGATTCCCTGGCGTTTAGCCCTTGAATGAAATGGGCTAAACCTGCAAGTCATCCAAACACCCATTGTCCTAAAAAGGAGTGCTGTGTGCCCGTTTCCCTGACAAGTTAATAAAGACTTCCCATGACCAGGCTCAAGCTATATGCTTTTGAGGGAATGGTTTGGCTGAGAGAGGAGCTCTTGTGTGTTTCAGCCAAGCATGAGGCGTTTAAACTGAGGATCAGAGCCTTTTGCAGCCTGACGTCATCCTCCCCGCACCCACCGTGGTGAAACTGCTCTGTGAGCATGAAGGGGCAGCTTGGTGTGTTGCCATCTTGTTGATCAGATTAATATGTGAGAATCAGAGCTTGCAACACTAACTGGAGTATAGCTCAACTATGGTTCAGGGTCAAATCTATAAAATATGTTCAACTAAGTCAGTTCATTCATACAGTAGCAGTGTTTATGTTCCTAAAAACATGCAAACATGAAGTATGGACGTGCAGGAAAGAGTCATACAGCCAGCAGAGAAGGGAATAAATGGGAAAAATAGATATAAGGTGGGAGTTTTGCTCTGTTGTACCAAATAAATGGGTCCTGAGTGTGAACATAAACAGTGAGATAGCATATTGGCAGAGACCTTGTTCCACAGAAAGGGGGTGTAATGGGTGAAGCTTTGATTCCCAGTTGTTTTCTTTCAAAACATGCAGAGTGGCAAGCTGTCCTCCATCCTATGAGTTAACTATATGAATATGCATACAGGGAGGAAGAGTTTGTATCAAGTGTGTCATAAAATATTGCAACTGCTGTAACGTGCAGATTTTCGTACTATCATTGAGAATTTACAGTTTCCAAAGTATGGTGGGAACTGCTGGAAAATGCTTGTTTCCCGCTGAGTTAGCTGGCATCTCTACAGTATGACTGGAACCAATAATAAGTAATTTTGTCCATGGGATGATCAGTGGGTTCAGACCATTTTTAAGTGACCTTGCAGGAAATTAACCTTTTTTTATTCCCTCTCTAAGGATACCTTAAAATAAACCCTTCATCAGATTTGAAAATTTCAGAATTTGGCACCCCCCAGGGGTAGTATGAGAACAGACAGACTTACATGCCCCTAACCTGATAATGGGGCTGAAAAAAATCCCATGAACTGCACTGCATTGTTTTATTGTAAAAGTAACAGTGTAGTTGCAGTTGTCAACTCCCTCGTTTCACCCTGCTCTTCCAAGAATGAAGGGGAAACTACAGTGGCCGTGAAATGTGAAAAAAACGTGAACACCCTTATCTAGAGACAGTGTTTGGTTTGTCAGGGGCTAATGTGGAAACATGTGGCGGACTTCACGTCATTATACACTAATGAAAACATAGTTATGCATATTATATTCAATTTCTGACAATAGTACCTCCTAAATGTTATTCACTGAATCTTTAAAGACGTCATCAGTAGAGACCTTATAAAGAGTAAATAAAATGGGACCCAAAACAGGAAAAAAATAAGCATGTTTTGGTGTGTTTATGTCTTGTTTTGTATAGATAAAACCATTCAAATGTTAACCTGTTATATGCTAAAACATAACGTAAGTGAGCACAAATAGAATGCAAGAAGAATATGAATGAGCAAGCTTGTGTTTTACTGCTCAGGAGTTCAACTTTTCATTCATTAGAGGAAGAATGTTTAATTTATTTTTTAAAAGTCATATACTATTGCTTTAAACTGATAAAAAACTGGTAACTGATATAAACCAACTGTCTCATATGTCCACTTTCATTGTATTGGTCTTTAAATAACAAATCCCAGAACTGTTCTATCTGTTCTGAGATCAGGGACCCACCCTGCGGTCTCTGTGTTTGAATGAGGATTAACACAGTGGAAGCCTTTCACTAGAGAATGACCTGTCACAAGCTTCACCAGCATGTAAGAAACAGTTGTTGGGTTCCTTTCCATAAAATTATAGGCACCAGGCAGTTAACACTAGCCGGTGTCCCTCTCAGCTGGGACTCAGGAACTCCTCTGGTCCATAAATACAGGAATTAAAAGCAGGATCAGGAGGGAGTAGGTGACTGGGCCAGGGGCGTGGACTCGGGTGGGGCAATTGGCAGCATTGATCAAGGGATAATAAAAGCTTAGGCCAAGTGTTACTGAACAACCTCCGGCACTCCTAATATGAGCTTGCTGTGAGTCTTGGGTGCTGTCCAGTCAGTTTGCAGTTTGTTGTCCTGTGTTTTGAAGAAGAAAGGGATCCTGTACGTGCACAATAATAGATGCTCTGTTAAAAAGATGCAAAAATCCCTCCACAGCACGTTTGCACAGTTGCATGGAAAAATTATGCCTATTTACTTGTACATAAAAGTCTCTCTCTAAGCATGAGATTGTGGAAAAAGCACAGCATTTCAAGTCATTATGTCTCTCTTATGTTCTCCCTTGGCTTGTGAAAATGTGAGATAAGCGGTGGGAGTTTGGGGCTAGAGACCCGAGCAGTTAACTCCCAGGGGGTCAGTTCACTCAGAGGCCAGCGGACAGGGGCCATTTCAAGCTTTCTGCTTTAATGGCTACCGAGGCTGAGGGCTTAGTATACCACCACTCGTCCAGCACTGACTACAACATTGTGTCATGTTACCTCCCAGCTAAGCTGACATGCTACTAGAACAACACCGTCTCTATAAGTCTAATGAGGCATGAATTGCAGTCAAGTGATGGATGTGGGGTCAACCTCTTGCCTCTGAAATACTCAACCAGTTTGACTCGGTAATGGGCAATTAATGTTGCCAATTTCAATTAGAGCTGAAAGGAGTAGTTGATTAATTGATTAGTTAATTGACAGAAAATCATTCTGCTACTGTTTTGATACCTGGTTAGTTGTTCATTGTTAAGGCTAGATATGTCAGCTAAACTAAATAAATCAGCATGTTAGCATTGCAGACTCTTAATCTTATAGCAAAACTCCCAAATAATTCTATAATTCCACCTTTTAAATGTGAATATTTGCTATTTTTCTTATTTGATAGTGAATTGAATATCTTTGGGTTTTGGACTGTTGGTCAGACAAAGCAAGTTATGTGATGTCAGCTTGGGCTTTGGGAAATAGTTATAAATCAAAGGATTAGTCAAGAGAATGAGTTAATAATGTAATAAAATATGAACTGCAGCCCTATTTTCAACCAAGCAATGACAGACAATCACCAAAAACTGATGTTATCAGCAAGGCCGTGTCTTTATCTATGTGCAGCACCATTTCCCAACTGAACCCTTTTCTGTTTTTGTCTATTCATGTCCTGCACTAACGTTCACTCTTTCCTGCTATAACTCTCTCACTGTTGATGAGTTGGGTGGGTTCCCTACTGGTGATGCCTAATATGTTCAAAGCCCAGACTGGCTGTGCGCCTGCCTGAGGAAAGAGGATGGGTGGGGGGAAAATGCTGCGATAATAGACAAAAGAGAGAAAGTGCAAAAGAACGAGTGGCCTAAGTGACCACCGGAAAACACAGGGAAGCCCTTTGTGTTTACGTTGTGGGTTTGGCTCCATGTTGGTAGACATTAGTTGGGCAAAGGGATACAGGTTGCCTATGGAACTTGTGTGTGCAGCCTTCCAAGAGCTGATTGTAACTGTAAAGGATAGAATAGATGAAAAAGACACAGCCGTATCTGCTTTTCCCATGTACGTCTCTCAGCGCTGTCATCTAATGAAGATTTGGGATTTGATCACATTTAGCTCTATGTTTTCATTCCGTCTGCATTGTTTCCAAACCTGATGCCAAATCAAACACTTCTTTTGTGGTCTCGGATGAAGTCGCCAGAAACACAAAGATATTTCTCAGAGGCAGTGCCAGCAGGTTGAAAAAAATGATCCATGTTTGCTTTGCTGAGAACTTAGTGGTGACCCTGCTTTTTATTACTTTCAGCAAAATGACAAAGATGAGTTATTGATGAGAGAGTTGTGTCACCCATCCATTTAAACCATACAGATTGGATTGGTTCTTCAGTATAATTACATCTGTGTTCAACCCTGTGGATCTTTGGCACAGTGATAACATCATATCCAGACTGTAAGATCTTCCGATAATCTGCTGTGTAATCAGTCTTTACGCCAGGCATCAATTGGAGAAAGATGTTGAATTACCATAATTGCTTAGGCTGTTACATGACAGTTATTTCTTTGAGGTTAAAAACACTTTGGTGTCTATGGTGGGACAAATTTTCTGCAATAGCCTTGATGTTTGTGCTCTCTACAGAAAGATGTGAAGGACGTGTTCACAGCCATCACGTTTGAGGTGGCTTACAGCCTGGGGAAGCATGTGCTGACGGGACACCAGGAGCGAGACCTGCCTGCGCTCACTCCAGTGCTACGATGGAGGAAAGGAAGCAAGATCGCAGTGAGGAATGAGGTAAATACTCTGAGAAATGCGTTGTGGTGAATTGACGGTGTTTAAATATATGAAAAAAAGTTACATGGTAACAAACAAGTGTGTAGAGAAGGGTGAAAATTAAAAATTTACCCTGATTGATACATTTTTATTTTGATAAAATCTGATACAGTAGTTATGTGGAGAATTGTTGTCAGTAGTTGGATTAAAGAGAATTAAACCATTTTGAGACATGAATATCAATGTCTTTTTGCCATTTCCAGGGTATATTGTAAAAAATCATTGGACATTATTATTTCTGTGGTTGGACCTCAATATATGATCCATGATTAAAGCTGTTATCACTGGGTATGAGACATTGTAGCCCTAAAATTAAGTAGATCATTTATTGTTCTGAGCAAGAAAATGAGCACCAGATATGATTTGTGGCACAAGACCGTGATTATTGTCAAATTTAAGCCTGGTTCAATCTCAATTTTGATTTATATTTATAAATCATTCAGACACTTTTGAAAAATGTTGGAAACTTTCAACTAATTCAGTTTCTGATGTAGTTTATCTCTTTAATTGATTATAAAGAACAGAGTCGTGACTTTGCTCGGACCACAGATGGAATGAAGGAAATAGCGCAAATTGAGGTTATAATGATTTGGTGTTGGTTACCAGCTTATTATTGTCTGTGTTAGCTTTTCTTGAGTGGAATCCAAAAAGACTGATTCATTTATTTTCTTTGCAACCACCTCTAACCTGCCCCACATGTGTTTCCCCACTGTCTGCACTTCTTGAAAAACTGAGGGATTTGCGTCTTTCACCACCTACAGAATCCATTTATCTGAAATTCATCAACGTTACATTGAACTTAACCGCTTGACTTAGATTTCCTTTCATGATTTAGCCTTAAACAAAGACCCTCCTCTGACTGATTTAAAGAGAGATCAGATAGAGTAAAGATTGTGGCCTTCCTGAATAAAAATCCTACTGAATATCTCCAACAACAACACAATACTGCCCCCTAGTCTGAACATGGATGAGACGTGTGTTCCCTGCATGGACAGCATGAGGTCATATGAACTGTGTACTTTACTGTTTCCTCTTCAGACTTGGTTTGAGAAGAATTGCCTGTCAGACGACTGTGCTGCAGACCTGAGGCTTCATGGGAAACTGCTGCTCTCCGGGTAAACACCTTCCACTTCACAGTTTAGATTCATTCTCTGTCTTTGCCTTTTCTTCAGCGCTGAGGAAGCAAGCTGACGTCATAGGCCATGTGGGTGTGGGTAGTGGAAGCATGACGCATGCTTGGAGGATATCCATATGTTTTTCCATACTTTGGGAGTTCCCTCTCTTTTTATTGTGTATCTTTTGCTTTCTGTACATTTACTGAGAGTATGCGTCTGTCTTGGTAAACAGGAGTCATCTTTTACATATATTCTTTGTTTTACTCCAAAAAACAAGCCAGTGCTCTATTTTAGGGCCACTCAACTTTGTTTACTTTCATTTTAAAGTAAAAAAAGAAATTTAAAATAAAACAAACTTAGATTCCCTGCTCATATAAATGACTCCTCCTGTGACATCCCAAAGTTTATTTATTCTCTGAAATCCATTGTTTACTTCATGTTCCCATCAGGCTGTACAGCAAACCACATTTGGCCCTCGGAGGAGTGAAGAACGTCTCTTTGAACCTGACCATCTCCAATGCTGGGGATGACGCCTACGACACCAACATCTACTTCAACTTCTCCAGAGAAGTTTTCTACATCAACTTCTGGCAGAAGGTCTGTCCCTCTTGAAGTATCTGCTGTTTATGTACTCGAGTTAACGTTTATTTCTGAAATGCATTTGGCTGTTTAGTTAAAAAGACGTCGGTAAAGCACACGTGGATCACTGACATGATACAGAAAGTCGAACTTTACACATACGTATCAGCTTAATGTAAGTTTTCACTGAGATGTACATTTTCTACAAGACTGTTTATTTTAAAAGAATGATTAAATGTCAGGAGTGCAGTCTAAACAGTGAAGCATACAGAAAGACAGACATGCGAGAGGACAAGTTAAATCGTTGCCTGAGCTGTGTAGGCAGGCCTGCAGATGAAAGGATGAGGAGCAGGAGAGCCCCAGCAGCAGCAGCAGCTGTCCCATCTCACGGGCAGCTCCTCTGGCTGACCTGTCATACGCTTCTCTGCCTCATTCAATGCAGACTCACCATGTCAACAACATATGAGCTATGTGCACGTGAACATATCGGAAGGCACATACTTCATATTCCCACAAGCTTGACTTATGTACCGTTCAAATCGCTCAAATACTCATGTCAAAAAACTCCCTCATACCTGATTAAATAGGGCCATATTTAATCGGGTAAATACAGGAAAGTATAGTGAGGATTATGACTGTCCTTCATAGAGATATTGATCAGGCGCTACACTCTTTGACCTCCAAAAGAAAACGATTTCAGCAATCTGTCACTGTTAAAGAAATATCTACCCACCGCCATCCCACATTAAACCTGAGAGACTCTCCTTGGGACCGCGCTGTATGTGGATGGATTTCACAGTGGCCACCTCTGCCTCAGCTCACGTCTGTTCGCTCACTTGCTGCAAAGACGCCAGCAGCTCCACTCACAGCAGAGGACAGACGCCACGTCAGACAGAGCACTATGATACGAGCCTGCCCAGGTTCACAGCAGATTTTCGGTTGCTTTAGGGGACAACATCCATCATGAAGGTTTTCTCCACATAATGGACCTCGTGTTTATCCTCCAGCTGGGTTTTGCACCCCCTTTGATGGATGGGGATCATCTCTGTAAAGCGCACAACGTATGACATGATTTAAAACCCCCAACAAAGCTAAAATTGAATTTAAATGGAATACATGCTGCAGGCAAATATTAGAAAAGCAGTGTTTCAGTTTGAGTTTCATAGCTAATCTAATGAACTAATTAAGTATCAGGTTACCAAGAGTAGCAGAGCCTCATTTTGTTCAGGAACCTGATAAGTCAGAGTGGCCTGCCGCACAAAGGGAACAGGAAGTGAACAGTATCAAGAGATGACAAAGGCTTCCGAGCAGATTTACTGCCATATGCTCTTTGAGACATTTCTAATTACAACCGGAGAAGTCCGAGGCGATGATGTGACCCTTTTTTTTCCAAAGTTAAGGCCAGCTCCCAATCCTCCCCTGAGGCTTTTTTTTTTTCAGTGAGCAAAGCATGAACTTGTACTCCCTCATATTCAGTGTGAGTGGGGTGTGTTATCTCTCTGTTGTTCTTGCAACACAAGCTGTCAGAAAACTGTGGAGGTGAATTGGTTTCAGGAGCACTGCCTTCACTCCCGAGGGACTCAGGAGACTTCTGCACCAGCTTCTGTGTTTTTCTTTTTTATCCCTCTTTTTTTTCTTAAAGGGCAGAGCTGTTGCAGCTGTTTTGTGCCATTGTATTTCTACTTCTCAATCTACTCTACTACATTTATCTAAAAGCTGTAGTTATTAATTACTTTCCAAATTAAGATTTTAAATACAAAACATACCTGCCTCTAAATTATGTGTTACATTAAACCACACAACAATATATAGAGTTATTTTTTTACCTCAACCAGGCACAATATTAATATACTGCTTACATATGTGGCATTTGAGCTGATTAATGTTTTAAATCAGTACCATAATATTTATAGGTGTTAGTCCAAAGGATAAACTTTGATTTGTATGACCAAAAGTACGAAAAATTACACATTAAATAACCTAATTCATGTTCAATATAATGCATGTGTCCCACTATTGTGTATTACCTCTGTCAAAGCTCATAAAAAACTAATAGTAATTAATTTTTGATTTTGTTTATGATTAAGATTAATTTAATTATTAACGCAACTCAGTAATAATAATGTTTGTATTCTCACAATGTGATGCAGGTTGTTTACTTGTAATGGAGTATTAATATGGAGTCGTATTAGTATCTGAATACCACCACTGATTTCTGGTGATTTAACAGTTGAAATCAGCATCGTGGTAAAAAGCCCAGAAGTTGGGAATGCAACTGAGAAATGTGTGAAGTTGTGAATTTCAGTGAACCTTAGGAATATACGAATCACTGATTTTCTTGGCTGTGAAGTGTAGCTGTGCACATGCCTTGACAGCCAAAGGTAGATCTTAATCTTCATACCTGTGTAGCAAGTATAAAGTAGGCGATGACGCTGGTTTGGAAAAGTTAGACCGGAGTAAAGCCAAATGTACAAATACCTAAGTGGTTGGAGATGTAAAGAGACATGCTGGAAATGCAGAAAATGGGCCTCCTGTGTGTTGTCACCCACACCAACGTACTACTCCGGTAGATGCTTCATCTGACTCTAAAGCAGGGTAAACAGTCCTGGGGATATTTAATGGGCCTGCCATTTGTGAAAATCCCAGCGTGTATTTGTCCCTGACAGAGAAAGACAAGAGAAAGAAAGTGAAGAAGTGCTGAACAAACAGACCTCTGTCACTCTTCTCCCCATGGAGGCACAACTCGCCATATGTCTGAGTGCTCTGCTTTCTCTCAAGGGCTGCCAGGTGGATGATGGGTTAACAGGCTGACTTCCCCAATCCTGCCCAGCCCCATGGGAGAGGCGGTGTTTGCACAGCAGCACGGAGGAATACAGGAAATAGAGGAAATTCCATCATTGCCAGTTGCACTGGGGTCCCCCCTCCCCCTTGTCGTAGTCTCCATGCAAAGGGCAGCGCTGCTTATTTAAGCTGACTTAATGAAGATGGAGGGCATGGCCACACCCTGGACTTACACTGGGAATCTGCTGAATAAGGGGAATGGGAGTGTGGATGATACCGTGGATGGATGTATACCTTTAAATATGTCAGCAGAGGCAACCTTCACACCTCTTTTCTTCATCACTTTTTGAAATGTGTTATAAATACAGGCCCAAACTGGACAGCGGCCCATGCATTCAGACGTTTTGTATGACTTACCTTAAGCTCCCTGCTGAATGTTCCAGGAGCGCTAGTCTATCTCTTTTTTTTAATCATTGAAGTATCTCTGCCCTCTTTCATGCTTTCCAGCACACAAGCTCAGCCGACAGCCTTGCAGTGAACTCTCGCTAAAAGAATTTTTACACTCATAGGGTCAAGGCTTGAGTGTTTACACAGCGCAGCCGGTGAAGCTCCATATTGTTTAGACAAGCTTCCAAACACACAGCCTGGAGGTTGTCCAATTACCCACCCGCCAAGATGTGTGTGTGCCATCACAGCTTTGTACATTCTTCGTTTAACCTAATTTAGAACTTCAATAAGATATGACAAACTATTCTTTTCCATATAAAAGTCTGTTTCCAACAAAAAGCTTTGATCTTACTGTAAATGTTGGCAGGTGTTTGTCTGTGTGTTTTTAAAGCTGCGGCAGAGGTTATAGTGTTGCTTTTTGCAAGGTTTTACATTATCTTTAATATTTGTATTTATTTTACCCTCCAAAGCCATTGCCGATGCTTTTTGCCTGTTAAGTTATCAAAACTGATTGTCACAGTCTGCTTCTTGTCTACTGCGTCTTCCTCTTTGTGTCTCCATAAGCTACTCCATGAGTGTCACCCACTCTGTCTCCAGTCTGTCTGTCTTTTATCGCCTCCCCTTACTCTCTGTATATCTGTCTTTTTGCAGGAAGAGAAGGGTATTTCCTGCGGACTTGTTGATTTGGACTTCCTCAAGTGCAGCGTGGGATTTCCCTTCATGAGAGCACAGACTAAGGTAGCTCAGACCAAGATAGAACTAGTTGCACATTGTCAAAGTTGCATTCAGTATAACCTACATACCATTTTTAGAGAGTGTGTGCAGACTGGGTTTTTACATGGAAAAAACAGCAATCATACTGAAATATCACATGAAAACAGTTGATGACACCCTGGTTTTATTTGTCCTTTTCTCTCCAGTATCATTTTGCTGTTATTTTTGACACGAGTCAGCTCTCTGGGGAAAATGACACATTGCAGTTCTTAGTTCAAGCAAAAAGGTAAGCATTAAAAGTCTCACATTTTAGTGCATATCTAACAATATTTATTGATTTATTGTAATTCCTGTGAATTATAGTGCTGATTTATCCCCATAAATCTTCCCAACATTATGCCCCATAGAGTAAACACTTTTTTCATGTGTGTTTCTTGAATTGGTTTACAAACTGACTGAATAACTTTATTGTTCCTTGTTTGCTGTAGTGCTAATCCTGAGCACAAACTCTCGGACAACAGTTTGGATCTGTCCATCCCTCTGGTTCATGAGACGGACACAACTATTACTGGGTAAGAACAAGACAAACATGAACACCCGTAACAGTGTAGTTATTTTTATGCAAACATAAATCTGTCTTGAGTTTTTTGTGCTTCAAATGGCGAACGTGTTGCTCATCTGTTGGCTCTTGGGAGGAGAGGGAGTGCCTTTGTCAGTATGGGGCATGTCAACTTGAAAAGCCTTATCTCTGAACGCTTTATCATAGCTCTGCTTCACAGAGAAGGGGAAGAGATGTAAAACAGCCCAAATCCACCAGAGCTCTGACATCTGATAAGGCTGCTGTGTGTGCTGTCTTTAATGTGAAGGGAGGCTTTAGAGTAAAGCTGGATACATCTGACTCATATCTCAACTGCTAAAGAAAACTCTGCTGTCCAGCTAATAACATGACTGATGCCAGAGATTCTATGAAGATTCTATGAATGTTGACCGTCTTCTATCTCTATCTTGATCATTGTGCCTGTAGTGTGGTGACACCGAGCTCCTTCGTGTATGGAAACTCCATCGATGCCTCGCGTTTCGTCCAGTTGGAAGACATGGAGTGCAACTTTCAGCCTCTCAACCTCACTTTCCAGGTACTTCCAGCACAGAGCATATATGATTTTCAGTATTTTTTACTGTTTTTCTATTTATTCACTTCTCCTTTCCTTGTCTCCATCTTACCCTGTCTCTGTGTGATGTGGTTCCAGGCCATAAACAAGGGGCCCAGCAGGCTTCCTGGCTCCACTGTGGACATCAGGATACCCAACCGGCTGGCTGGCAGCGGAGCTGACATGTTCCACATCATTGAAACACAGGTGGATGCCAACAGCAGTCTATCTACATTATTTATCTTGACCAAATCATTATTTATTAGTTTATTCACCTGCAGGAAGCCACATTTTTAGCTCATTTGTCCAGCCTATGCCTGTGTTTTGCTTCTCTTCATGGCACAGCTGCGTGTATCCACCTAAGAGGACAGTTTTATGTACAGAAAGCTGCTAATCCATGGCCCTTTTGTCATGGCATGGGCAATTTGCTTAGTGTGAGGCACCAGTGGGCCAGTGAAAATCCAAGGGAAAGTGTTGACGTTGCTACTGAAGCTAGCCAACCATTTTGTTTCACAACATTTTGCATTTAGATAAAGAAACACAATACTCCCACTGGGTTTAAATGTTTTCTTAACCCTTGCATTGCTCCTTTCATATATATAGGTAGATTGTGGGGGGGCTCAAGCTGTTAATTGTATTTACTGTGAATGGGCAGACGAAGTTGACTCTATCCCACCCTCCTTGAGCCCATCTGGAATCACTTTCAGGGGATCAGACAGCTTGCACGAAACAGGAATGGGACACCTGCAGAGCTGGCTACTGCCCCGTACCATCCCAGCCTGGAACCACACATCATAAACGCTGTTAACACTGCGTCTAGCCTGTGGCACACTGGACAGTTACACACTTATATTTTATAGCCAGATATTCTTACATTTTATACAGACCTCCATTAGTTCAGACATGACATACAGGTTCCTTACTGGTGCTCCATATGTTCTAGTTTTTTTGCACAAAATCCCTCCAACCTTCATCATTTACTGTGAAAATTCTGCTCTCATGAGGGTTTTCCCCATGTTAAAGTAAGTGCAGCCTATGAATCTTCACACCAGCAATGGCAGAAAAACACTCAGGACATGAGAAAACGCGGCAATAAAGCTCAGACATACTGGGTGGCAACAGAGCAGACAATGAGGAAGGCCAAAGGAGATTTCCACCTCCAGAGCTTCAGGTCGGGCTGAGGAGAGGGGAAAGGGGAAGTGTTCCCTGGGGGGTGGGCAGTAAACCAGACAGCTCTAAATCACTCCATATGGGAAATCTGTCTGGGAGGGGTACCAGCTTCTTGTTGGGAGAACTTCCTGTGAGACCTGGAGACCCATAACAATAGTGGGATTGGGCCAGTTTAGGTGACAAAAGTGCTTGTGTCTACATTTTTGCTGTCAAACTCAAATCCAAAATTAGCTTTGCAGCACAAACATGATAAAACTGCTGATTCATGCCACACATTTTAACTCAACTCTGTTATACTTCTGTCTTAATTTATGTTCATTGGATACCTAAAATCTTAATCAACTTAACACACCGCTGTCATTTCAGGTGGCCGACAGCCGAGGGAACTGCACCCCTCACAGGAACCCGACACCGTGCACCATCCCCCAGGACAGAGAAAGCATCTTCCACTCCATATTTGCTTTCTTCACCAAATCAGGACGCAAAGTCTTGGTAAATATGCAGCCCTCAAGAAGCACTTTGACCTTTCAGAGGTCACTGACAGTCACCCCCTGTGAGGATTCTTGTTTATTGTTTTTTGTTTAGCCAGTGCAACATCTGTTTATCACACTTCTCTCCCCCCACACACTTTCTCTTTCCCTACTTTCTGTTTTCTTCCTCTCTTCTTCTGTCTTTTTTAAAAGGACTGTGACCGGCCTGGGAGAGCGTGTATGACGATCTCCTGCAGTCTAGGTCCACAACTGAAAGAAGAAGCTTTGAGCATAGATATAAAACTTCTACTCAACACTGAAATTCTTAAAAGGGTAAGACAAATGTCACAAGCTTGATGAATTTAGTTGCAGATTATTGTGATTCTAACAGTAACAGTAATCCGCCGTCTTTCGACCCACAGGATAGTTCCTCTGTGATCCAGTTTGTGACGAGGGGCAGTGTGCAAGTAAATGACAGGGCAGTGGAGGTGCCAGTGGGCCTGCCAGAGGACATTTCTGTGAGTACATTATGAACTGTTAATTCACCATCTACTCACATTTATTAAAATACTTTAACTACCTTTGACGAAATGCAAAAAAGGTAATTACACAAAGCAACCACATTGAACATCACAGTCAAGGGATGTCTAGCAGCTTCAGAGCCAAAGTTACTTGGTACTGGTTCACTCTCACCACTCTCACCAACCTTGTGTCCAGCCACAGCTTTCTAAATAACCCACTGTACACTGCTGTGCATGACAAGTACCAAATAGCAGGTAGTGGGGCATTAAGCTGCGTATGACCCAGATATACAAATGATGTGACCCTTTAAGCTTTGGGCAGATGCTAATCGAGGCTTGAATCCAAGCATTCTGGTTGAAGGACAGGGGTACCCACTACATGGCTCTGCAAAAATCTATCAATAAGCCCATATATTTTTATCTTTATATGCACAGTCCATCACGCTGTGGTTAGACAATCCTTGAGCGACTGATGTGAGCCAAGGGAACAGCTGGGGAGTGTGGGTATACTGTATGGTGGCACTTCTATCGGCCTCTTTTCGGGGTCCTCAGCTGTGCTCAAGGACAGACCCCCCCCCCCACACACACACACACACACACACACTGTTGTTCGCTGAGTGATTGAATGGCCCAGTGGATCAGATGTGATGATTATATTGAGCACCCAGCATGCTCGCAGTGGGATCTCTCAAGTGATTAGGGTGCTGACCGGGTTGCAGCCCTGCTGACCCTGAGCTTCAGACGTGCTCTGAAAATTTAGACCTGCCATGAATATGTCCATACCATGCCACTCTTTCAGCACTTAGTGAGTGTGCTCATTCCAGCCACTATTGGCCCCCTAGCTTTTAGTAAACACAGTTACCCTTTCCCTCAGGGTCTCTGCTGGCTAAAGTACACAATGCAAAGTATAATTTGTGGTCCCTGGTTGTATCGTTAACAGCAGGCCTAGCTCAGTTTTATCCCCCGTGACATGTAAACAAACTGACGTAAATCTATAGCATTCTGTTGCAAGTACGCAAGTTACAAACTTTGCATCGCAGAGCTGAGTTGAATGAACTTCACATTCAATCACACATTCCCAGAATTAACTGACTGCACCAGTTAAATTGGGAAAGTCAATGTCAGAGAGCAACGACCAGCAGAGCTTTTATCTTTTCTGTACACGCAAGCGCCTTGGCATGCATGACAACAGTTAGATTCCAGAGCTCCGTGTATGGGGGAGGGGCTAATGTGGGAAACTATTCAACAAAGAGATTAATCTTCACTTGTCCACTTGGTTGTGTCTTGGCTAACAGTTGGCGTCTCATGCCACATTTGTGTTCAAAGCCTATGCAGCATTGAAGCAGTGAAGTTCCTCACTCAACTCTGAAATTGTCCCACCATTGTTTGCAACAACACATTATGCAGGATTATCTGACATTTGGGAGTTACACATTTATTTATACAGTTATTTGCCTTTGTTTAAGATCATTAGTAAATAAAATCAACTATTTCATGATCCTAGAATGTGTTGTTTTCCATGTAAGGCCTGAATGCTGACATTAAAGCAGGCTTAGCTGTGGTGCAATGTAATGCAATATTTCACTCAAGTCAAACTGTTAATTCAGTTCAAATCAATTAAACTATTTTAAATTGTTATTTTATTGAAAATGACTCATGTACAAAAGTATCAAATAGCTTCAAAAGAACTGTTTCTAAGTGGAACAGCAGACGGACACAAATACAATCAAATAATAATCAAAGCACTAGTGCTAGAAAGTGATTTAAAATAATTGTGTTGGCCTAATTACAATAAGTATTTGTCAACGAATACTACTGCCCTCCATTGTAGTTAAATGTTACAGTGTGCAGTGGGTTAAGTGAACTAACTTTGCCGTCAGTGACAGATTATCCAGTAGGTCAGTGTTCACTCATGTCATGGGAATCAGGCTATGGTTCTTATTTATTGTGGAACCAGGCTATTTTTTAAGAGTTGCCAAGCCTCCCAGAATGAACTCTCAGAATTAGCCTCATAGTTTAAAGGCATGAGGCTCCAAACTGAAAAAGGGAGTGGACGATATATTATTTTAAATTGCACTGACCTAATAAGATGGATACTTGTTGGCATTAAAGCTCACAACTAGTTTTATCTTATTCATACTAGTTATAAAAACATAAAAGGCAACATATTGTTAGACAGTTGTAGGCAATGATGAAGATGATGAGTCCACAGCCATGCTAGCAGCTTTCTGAAGCTTTACTGAGGCACAGCAGTGCTTTGAGTTAAAGCTAACATCACCATGCTAACATGATGCTGATGTATAGCGGTTATGACGTTTACCATGTTCACCATCTGTGTGTTTGCATGCTAAAGTTGCACTAAACACAAACTACTGGTGAGGCTGAATGTCATTAATTTTACAGGTTGTCACCAAAATCAGAGGGATTCATTCTCTGGAGACCATGAATGTCTGTACAAGATTGAATTGCAATCCATCCATTGGTTGTTGAAATATTTCAGTCTGGACAAAGTGGTGGCACAACCTACCGATCAACTGACACTAAAAATATCACTTATTGTGTCAAATACAGTTTGTATTTGTGCTGCTGGCTGAAGAGTATGGACATTCCCTGGAATTCAATACAAAATTGTGTTTCAATGGATATTGCTTGAAACATGATAGTGTACAGAATACATGATTTTGATTCCATTAGTCTCACTGCATGTAGTCCGATGCCCTCTTGAATAAAAATCAAGAGTTCTGAAAACAGACTGAAATAAGATGTGTCTCAGTTGTTTTTGTTGCACTACATTGCATCATTAGCCAAAGATGACTTCATGAGTACTCTTGTGTGTCCCTGCCTGTGTGTATATGTTGTATTTGAGCATGACTCACTAACTGACTGAGGTGTTGGTGTGTTTCAGCTGGTGTTCGAGGCTCTCCACAGTCAGGAGCCGAGGGGTTACGTAGTCGGCTGGATCATTGCCATCAGTCTGCTGGTGGGAATCCTCATCTTTCTGCTGTTAGCTGTGCTACTCTGGAAGGTAAACACATTTACAAAGTTTGTGATTATTTTTTTTTTTAGCTTAGAGCATTAGTCACAAAACTTTTCTGGCAATGTTTGGCTGAGGCTGCAACAGTAAATAAGAGGGAGTTGTCACAAACTTGTCACAGCCAGAAGCCCTGCGTCTAACTCTGGTTAGACGACAGCACAGTATCCAGTTGTGCGGAGACAGCTGGAGGTAGGGGAAGAGGTGGGGGTGAGAGCTTGCTCTGGGCCTTAAACAACCATGAAAAGGACAAATCACAGGCCGGACAATAATTCACACCATACCACTCACATGAAAGAAGAATCTAAAAGGGAAATGGCAATTACATTGATGTCCAGAGGCCCTGTTAGCACAAAACTCCTTTTCTTTTTCACGGGTTCATTTTCTACCGGGAATACCACAACTAAACCTTGGAATGTTGGTCCTGGGATACATTTGCCTACCCCCCTCCTCCGATCCACGGGTCCTAGGATCTTGCCAAAATAAACCCCACTTACAAGAGCAGCACATGTCCTGTATTGCTCTTTTCAGGAAATGCCTGAGGAGAGTACAGGTCTGTATCAATAAACTTCAGTAGTCAAACACAGATAAATGAATGGAGTCGTAGTGAGAGAGGCATCACGGCTTTGTTTACATACACACCAAGAATCTACTACTCTCCCCATCCTCTCATATCTCCTTTATATTGCACTTGGTAAATGCATGTTATGGGTCAGTTCAATGTCAGTTAGAGTGCAAAATTAGATTCTTAAAGAAACAACACGTTTCTGCAGAGGAAATGCTTGATTTGCTTCCATCCATGTCGGTGACTTTGTGTGGTTTAGCTTATTAACTTCAAATTGTGTATGTTTTACATTACTGCTGGACATGCAACAATGTTTTAAATTGATTTCCTTTCTCCCAGACATCGTTGTTTTCCATTTGTTTAACTGCGGGAGAAATCTTAACTTGCAGATTTTTGTAATAATCCACCACAATGAACTCAAGGTTTGAGTTATTACTTGTGAAAATTCTGTTATTATTGTAATAATGCAGCTGAAAGAAGGGAATGTTTTAAATACTGTCTTATTGGTGATGCTTTGAATGACACTCCTGGGAGTCAGCTGCTATATAATATCCCTTTTAAAACCTTTGTAAAATCAAATCCAGAAGACAAGCAAGAAAAAGTTTTTTTTTCTTGCATTAAAAATGTTGCTGTTCTGCAGCTGAAACACTTTTGTGCTGGAGCGTCCAGTTCTTTAATAACTGCATTATCCCACAATGATCAGTGTGCTACTCACATGCACATCTTTCTTGTCAACTACTTCTCAAAGATGCACAACACGATAAAATGCTCCCTTAAAAATTAATAAAACAAACATTAAAGGGAGAATTACACAGTGTTGTGAGTCTTTGGGACACAGTTACCACATGGTGACAACATAAATTTGACAGAAAATGTATAAATGTTCACAGTGTAACCCAGCCAATACATGTTTTATGAGGCTGATACCATGAAAAATACTAATTTATTATTATTTAATGACAACATTATTTTTAAATGATCACCAAAATTACCATCAAACTATCTTTTTGATTTATCTACAGCAAGGCCTTGTTACTTAAAGGAATAAATCAACATTTTGGGAAAGAAGCTTATTCATTTTCTTATTCGTATTCAAGTTACTATGCCCAGCTGAGAAATAGTCCTGCACATAACACCACCACGTGTTCCAACACTGATATCATCTAACTGTGATTATGTGATAATATCAGTCAGTGGTCTGGCTTTAAATCACAGCTCTGCATTACTACTTATTTCTTGTAAGTTTGAAAATATGACCACCTCGAAAGAGGAAAATTTGGAAAGTGCTCAAACATGTAAAACCACATGTTTTCACTCCTATAGTTAGATCTGACCACAGATGCACCTTACTAACCACTCAAATTTTTTTTTCCTCTCGTTCTTTGACAGATGGGATTCTTCCGTCGGCGCTACAGAGAGATCATTGAGGCTGAAAAGAACAGGAAGGACAGTGATGAAAGCTGGGACTGGATGGAAAAGAACCACTGAGACTTGCAGTGGGGAGGGGGGTCCCAGAGGAGCCAGTGAGATTAGGGATTGGGTCAGGGAGGATCCAATAGCATGGGGTCTCGAAGCCAAGCGCCCCAGTGGCACCAGGCCCTTCAGTCTTCCATATGTGGAAGAGAAGAATATTCTCCATATTTTTTGGAGACTTGATATTTTTTGTGGGTGGGGGTCCAGGAAACAGGCTTCTGAGGTGACAGTGTGGCTTGCCAGAGGACACTTGCTGTGGAATTCAGATAATCTCAAAGGAGGTAACTCCCAGCCAGCGGAGCGGAGCTGTTGATGGAGACCCACATCCGTATGGGGATGTGGAGATGGCATGAATACTGGTGGACAACAAAACCCTCAGGGCTGTGTTACATAGCAAATTTATTTTTATACATACACTTTAAGCCATATTGTGTAAAACTGGGCTTCGAGAAGAGTTGGGGTTTTGAAGGCCATTATAAACATACTGTATCTACAGTATGTTTTCCTAAAAGCACTGATGTTTGATAAGAATGAATGCCTTGGCTCCATAGCTTTACTTTTTATGCCAAAGATATGTCCTGTATGGTATATGATTGGAGTCGTTTGTATATTCAGTTCTTCCTAGGAGTGAAAGATTGTATCTTTTCTTTACCATTTCCGGCTTATGAATATCTGTTTTACACATCTGACTGCCCCTCCCACTCATAGATAATCAGCCAGAGCTAATTCTGTGTGTTAGACCCACACACACAAAGATTAAGATGATTTGTCCTGATGTGTCATCCACTAGTGTTGTCTCAGAGGCGCTGGAGGCCCAGTAAAAGCACTCTTTGTGGTCATTAGGTCCATGAAAGCCGCCATTCACATTTCAAGGTTTGTGACTTTCCATAAGCTTTCCATTGTTTATGGTCGAGCTTTTAACAGAGGCGTTTGTAAGTGATAAAAGTGATTTTGTCAGATTAAAATTGCAGCCTTTACTCTCTGCAGTGGTTTGAATTAATGTCTTGAAAGTGCAAGAAGAGCAAATTATCTGAAGCTGCTTTTGCAAGGAACTGTTGCTCAGGTCTGCAGCTAACTTTTGGAACCCCAAAACATTTCTTAGTCTTACTTGATTCTGTTGTAAATTCTCATTGAAATACTGTAGGAAATGATTCACTCAGCGTCATGACAGAGCAGATGATTTACTTCCAAAACCTTTCCGGCGCTTCACCGAAGCAGGCTATATTTAATTTTACTATTATGTTATTAGGCATTGGGTTTAAGCATGAAATATACATTACTCTCCATGGGCAGATGAAAGTCTGCGATGGGAGTCCACCTACAGTCATTTATAGGGGCCCATGGCATGAGTAATGCCCTAAAAATAGGTGGGAATGTGCTGCACTCAATCACAACACATAAACGAGCTCTTTAGGCTCCTGAGAAAAGCTTATTTTAAGTCAACATGGAGGAATGTCAGCGCCCTGAAAATCTGCCACTAGTAGAGTTCACAACTCCTCGGTACTCAAATTTTTACCCCACATGTTCGTTTTAAAGCTTGGCTTGATCGTGAATGCAGAACATAGTCAATTGAATTTTATATGATATGTTGCCAAAGAACCAAGAATATTAACTATTTTATACATTTAAAGAGCTTTATCTCAAAATAGAGAAGAAGAATGTATTAATGACCCATCATGTGATAGTTCATTATATTGAAACAAATATACAATATGTCGGGATGAAACCCTGCAGTCTCACGGATTTTGGGTAATTTTTTCAGTAGACCAGAGCTAGAGTTTAACGTGCAATGCCAAAGAACAAAAACTATATTTTAATATGTTTCACACTTTTCTCTAAGACTTCAGTGCTATGACACTTTATGGCTCACTGTGATTGCTTGGCTCTCTGTATGAATCTTTTATTGATCCGATACACTTTATTTTACCATTTAATTCCACTGGCATGACGGCATATACTGTACACATTCACGTCTTCCCTCTGCATCTGTTAAAGCGATGCTACACCTATATGCAGAGAAACTGACACTTGACATTTTTTTGATAATTTTTAACTGTGATGGTTATATTTTGTTTGTTTGTTCGTTGTCGCCGTTAACCACACCGTTATTTGGGGTTTTGTTCTGAGTATACTACTGTCACTGAATATCATTTCCATTATAGTGTGCTGTATGTTTGATGTTAAAAGTCATGTTCAAGCTGTATATTTATCTGTTGATAAATTGAGTGAAATTCCATGGCTCTGTAAGCTGTTTTGGTCCAGTGTGGTTATTGGTTGCTTCACTTGCTTCATGGTGTGTGGTGCTCCCTGCTGGCTGTTGTGCTCTACATGTGCAGACAAAAGCTCAAGAATACTACATAAACAACTACATAGTATTTATAGTATAGATGCATTTACAGTAATGTTTGCTTAAAACTTTTCTTGTACAACAACAGCATTTTAATTATAAGGGTTTAACTTTTTATTGCTTATATACAAGTCCAATCGATTAGTCGAGCAACAGAAAATTACTTTATTAAAAGTCATTTATCAAGCAAAAACAAGTTATTTGCTCCTTTTCACTGTATTATCATAAATTGGATATCAGTGGATTTTGGACTATTGGTTGGATAAAATTAGCACTTTGAAGATGTCATACTGGGCTTTTGGAAACTGTTACAGGCATTTGTCACTTTTTTCTGACATTTTATTGCAGGTGAATTCAACAAAGTGGGCTACTTTTTGGCAAATGTGCTAGAGCACTACTATTACAAACTTTCACTACATGCCAAATGTGTGGTTGCAAGATTTTAGGATAAATAATATTTACTGGTAAAGCTTTTTCCTAAACCCACTTCACTAAACAAGTAAAGAATTAGACAAAATAATAATTGATTGATCAATTAACCATGGAAATAATCTTCAGTTGCAGCATATGCAACAATATGTCAAAAAAGAAAGACAGCTAATCACTCTTTAAACATGGTGAGGTTATGTGTGTTTGGTCAGGTGACCCAGTTGCTATGAAACACTGAAATAAAGCACAAGCTCCTCCGCAGAGTTCAATTAATTATTAATACAACCAACACACTGAGTACAATAGATGGAACTGCTCACTTTCTTCTGACCACAGAGAATCACTCTGCCAACTATGTCCCCTTTACTGGATCATGGGTTGATCAGGACTGCGGCGGTGGAGCAGGTGGTCGCACCAATCGCAAGTCATTTATGCTACTTGGTGCTGCTGTGTGACAGTGCAGAGGAACCTGAACAGTTCAGCCAGCTGGAGGGGGCAGCTCAGGCTGTGGCTAAAGCTACTGAGAACATGGCAGCAGTGGCCGCCAGGTATGTACAGTGTGGAGTTTACTGAGATAAAGAACAGAAATCTAATGTACAAAGCTGCAAGTGCAAGCCTATAAAAGTTAAACTAACATCAGAATCAGATCTTGTACTCACACAATGTTAAAGAATAGAAATAATACGTATATTACAATATCTAACACAATAAATAGAATAGAAATGTATGTAAAGGTATATACATATAAGTAAAAAATAAAAATAAAAATGAGTTAATGTACGTTACAGTAATAAAATATATACACAACATGTGCTAATATATACAAAGTATGAAATAGTAATGAGTTTTAAAGATTGTGGTGTTGCCGGTGTTATAGATTATTACAAGAATGACTGAATAATAACAAGAATGACTGAATAACATCTGACCTTTTAAGAGACTGATATGTAATATATTATCTGATAAGCACCAGGCACTTTACTTGCAGGCAAATACGTGAGACAGAGGATGAAGTGTTGCACATGGAGATGTCATCCCTGTTGGAATCTGTCACTGTGTCTGGACAACATGTGCTTCTGGCAGCCCAGAAACTCAGCATCCAGCCCAGTTTGACTGAGCACAGAGAGGAACTTATCACTGCCACACAAAACGTCTTCCTGGGAGTAGTCAAAGTATGTTTTTTCTTCTTGGCAAGTATTTTACTAAATATACCAATCAATTTAAGATATCACACCTTTTTAAAAATAAACATAGATAGGGAGAAAGGAATGGCTGCTGGAAGTGAATGATGAGAGCTGCATCTGTTTTTTTACTTTCTTAGAGGTTTCCTTAAATGGGAATTTCTGGCTGTTTTATACCTGAAATACCTCAGATATTCATCCACAACCGATGGTACTTGGCCTTAACTTTCATTGTTGTTGTAATAGTTTGGTAATTTGTGAGGACAATGAATTTTTCCAACGTTAGCGACTTACTGATATCTTATCTATCATGTCAACCAGTGTCCAGACTGTCTGTAATTTATGAAAGGGGACTGCATCAGCTATTGCTCGTAAATTGGAAAAAGGACACAAAAGTCTTATTAATGACACTGTCGTAATCTTGTATAACTCTGCACTGGTACACATCACATGGTGTGAGTGACAAACTCTTCTTTCTTCTCTTTTCTTCTCTGGTTATGGAAAACACTTCCTAGATCTGCCAGAACTATAACAGCACACTGGAGTATCATATTTAAATACAGCAATTTGTGCAATTTCAGTTTCAACATTTTCACCCAACAATAGCGCTAGTCAGAACAGGCATCCAAAAAAAACTCCATCATTGCCTAAGATTTGGGAAGAGATTGCAAAATGATCTGGGATTTCTGTCTTTACCCATAATTGCTATTGCAATAATATTATGCACACAGCAAAACTTGTAACTTTAAGTAACATCATTTGATGTATGAGGTTTATTTATAAGTCATTAAACTGTATTACTGACATTATTGCATGACTAGGTTATATTTATTATGTTCATACAGGAATACTGTCAATGTGTTTGTTGCCTATCATTGGTAATGTTTGACAAAAATGTTGGTCTTGGTGGGCCATTGGTCTAATCCAAATTTCATGAGAATCCATACAGTTTCAAGACACTAAAATAATGTAATCTTCATGGTGCCACTAGAGGACAAGTCAAGGCTTCATCCTCTCGACCATGAACCATATTCATTTAGAAACATTTAGTTTCAGTTAGGACCAAAATGGACAGACTGACAGACTGACAGGCTGACACTAACACCATGCCACTAGCCTGGCTAAAAAATATAATATAGCTGTTCAGCATCAGTAACAAGTAAACTTATCTGTCTCTCTGCTCTTAGGTTCTGTTAGTGGACGACGATGCCACTGTAAGGAGAGTTGTAGTTGCCGCTGATCGAGTTTTGGAGTGCCTCTCTGAGCTTGGCTCCTCCTCAGACATGAAGTCTCTGCTAAAATCTTTCCAGGGGTTTTCTCAGGCTCTGCTTTTCCTCAACAGTCTGACAGTGGAGAGAGCAAATTCCCTACAGGATCCCAGACAAACGAAGCAGCTTCTTGATTCATTGGAGACCCTGAGGAGGTGCATCTCCATGCTGCACACGGCCATGTGCACAACCATCAAACACCCTACAAGCGAGCAGGCACAGGCAGCCAAGAGATACATTCTGGACAAGGTGCAGAGCACTGTGAGTGACATTATTAAAATACTGAAAAGTGAATGCCACAGTGGATCACTGGGTCCTTGTGGATATTACACATGGAGGAGGAACAGTCTGCTTCAACTACTTACCAACTCCTCCACCTCCTCAATCCGAGACAGTGGCTTTGACAGTGTGGTAAGAGATCTTGTGTTTCACTGTATGGTTGTGGCAAACTCTTCTCGTAAAGAATTTCAGCAAAGAGTGGTGAGTCATTGTCGTCACATCCTGCAGTTCTGGTCAGACGTAAAAAGGATTTTGAAGTCCTCAGAGGATCCTGATGATTCTGAGCAGAGTCTTGAGAAGACCTGCACTTTGTTGGTGCAGCAAATACAAATGCTTGACAAAGCTTTGATGACTACTGTGTTTTATCAAGTCTTGGACACATTTTTAACAGCATCTTCTACAGTTGACGAACTTTTAAGTGTGATGAGACAGATCCTGGTTGCGCATTCTTCTACAAAGATGGATCTGAACTTTATTCAGCCCCTAGTTGAGGATTTCATTTCTTCCACTGATGAAATAATCCAAGTTGCAAATTTTATCTCAGCTGTGGCCGTTGATGCAAAGAGTTTGGAGAACGTGGAGAACTCACGAGCATGCCTTACAAGACTCAGAGCTCGAATTGCACCTCTTTCACTGGAGCTGGCGGATGATTCAATGCAAACTGTTCAAAAGCTTCATGAGGTGTGTCAAAAATGGCAGGAAGAGACTGGTCAGCTTCAGGATGCTCTCAGTGATGTAATGGATGTGAGGGAGTTCACCAGTATTGCTATTAATGAGATGGTCAATGACCGGCATGGATGTGACGCAGCATACAGAGAGCAAAGCTATAGATTGTTTAATGAACATGCAACAAACCTCATGTGTCACATGAAGCTGGTGATTCAGTCAGTGAGGAGGCACTTGGACAGAAGTGATAACCCCATCTACAGGAATGGCCTCCTGGTGCTGCTGAAACAGGTTCAGTCATCTCAAACCAAAGTGTGTGAGTCAGTCAGAGACATGCTTTTAGGTTCCAGTCTAAATGTGGAGGTATATACTACTTTTTCAGATAATGTTTCCATGGCTATTCAGCATTTTAAAGTGCTCAGAAGGGGACTGGATGGCCAACAGCATCCACATCTCCTTAGCCCGCTTCGAGAGGGGGCACGTCAGCCTGAAATCGACACCTGTGAACTGAAACTGGATCATGTGAGAAGAGGCTTGGATTCTCCTGTTTTTGAGGTTGTGGAGAGGGATTCCCAAATCGAACATGAGGAAGAGCACTCAGATGAGGAAACCATAGAAGTAGAACTGGCTCGTAAATATGACAGCGCTGATTTAAAGATCCCAGCTGTCTCCGATGAACCCAGACTGATCCACAAGCCTCTTGAATTTGACCTTTTACCCCTCTTGTATGAAGTTGTGACTGTGACTAAAGGAAAAGATGTGACAGCTCTCAACCAGGCCTGCACTGGTGTTCTTGAGCTGTCAAACTGTTACGCTCAAGCTGCAAAGGAAGCCTTGGCCATTGTTGATGCAGTTGATCATCAGACGTTGGAAAGTTTCAGAGCAGAGCTGGTGTCATTGACTCCGCTGCTCGTCCAGACAGCTCAAGAGACGGCAATGAGCTCAGGGAGGAGCACAGAGAGCCTCTACAAACACAGCACACAGTTTTCTGACCTGATTAACAACACCAGAAAGGTTTTACTGCCGGTGGCTGGAACCTGGTATCATGCTGTTTACACTGAGCTGCAAGCTCATCTGCCAACAATGGCAGCCACTGCTATGCAGCAACTAAATGAAGTGATGACTTTGTGTGCTGACATGGTCCAGCTCTTGACATCGTCTGATTTAACCTCACAAAGTGATGGTCAAGAAACATTCAGCGTTTTACATAACAAGCTGAATAAAGCCCAGAACAACACAAGGTGTCTGGTAGAGTTTTCTATCTCATTTAAAGGAGAGGTAGACCAACTAGAGGGACTCTGTATCCTCTGGGGCCTCTCTATTCAGATTTTGCTAAATTCTCTTGATAAGATTTTGGGAACATCAACTGCAGTGAACCAGTTGGGCCCTCAGAAACAGCTATCAGTCCTGTCTGAGAACTCGCTTCGAATCCAGGAGGCAGCTAGGCTAACCAGCTTAAACTGTAAAAGTCCTTACAAATCAAAACAGTTAACAGGACACCAGGATGAACTGAAAACACTGACTGAAGCCTACCTTAAAGCTGCCGAAGAGCTTGACATAATGCCAAGTGTGATGCAACTTGCAAAGTCGGAATTCTTTCTGAGACGTCTTTTGATTAAAATTAGAGTGCTCTCTGGTCATTTAAGCAAAGCAAACAAGGATTATGACACTGCACTTCAAAATATTGTGAAAATTGCCTATTTTGCTGCAGGGAACTTTAGGGAGAACAACACAGAAGATTCAGAGCAGAAATTTGAAAACACAGCAGAAACACTTTTTGAAAATGTAAAACTTGCAACCAAACGAGTCGAGGACTCCTTAAACTACATCCGTGACCCACGTGCTCGTTCTAATCTGAGGTCCATCAACGACCACCTGTCTTTTCAGATCTCAGACATAATTAGCAGGGCGAGGCTCATGGTAGAGACTCACTACATTTGTGACACACTCAGTCTGGATGTGCAGATCCAGTGCTGGTCAGCCAAAGCTCACTATGTGGTGGTGGAGATCAGAAAGCAAGATGGGATTCACCAAGAGGCTAAAGAGCACATCAGGACTGGTCTGCAGGGCCAAACACCAGACAATATCAAAGAAGTGTTGGCGACAATCCCATCTAAAGTAAAAGAAGTAGAATTTCCCTCCGACACAACAACAACATCCTGGCAGAGAGGCAATACAGAAAGTGTAGATGCTGCAGAGCCAAATATAAACATGGCTAGTGTGGCCAACTATGGATCTGGACATATGGAAAAACATGTAGGTATGTCATGATTAACAATTTTCCAGTTCAGTGATTCCTTTTTGTTAAAATAAATCATGCCTTATTTTTTCTCTGTAGGATGATGTCGGGTCTGGTGCATTCAAAGAATCTTCTTCACTGACCTACACCTCCATCTTTCTCAAACAAGAAAGTGACAGCTGGGATCCCAAGGACAACAGAATCGTCCAGGTGACCAGGAAGATGGCTGACACAATATGTTACATGACCCAGTACTTGAAGAAGAGAGGCCCAATACCGGTAAGGACCACCAGAGGGCACTTTTCTGCCTTGATCTTGTTATTTGCAGGCACCCTTATCCACAATTGTTCCTTTTCTCTTCCAGAATAAAGAGGCATTTGTTTCTGCAGCCAAGGATGTGATTTCAAACTGCCAGTCAGTAACTCAGTTTATCAGAGTTATTACCAACCACTGCCTGGATAAACAGTGTACGGTTGAACTGTCCCTCATAGTCGAGCAGATTCTCACCATCACCAACCAGCTCAGCATCATCTCCAGGTTACAAAGAGTTTATGGATAATTCATGTGCTGAAACTAACCCAGGAAAAAAAAGAAAGTGAATGAGACAGTTTTTCTTTTCTTTATCTTTACTTAGTGTCAATGCTGTAACACCTGGGTGCAAATCATCTGATGAGATCCTGGTGAAGAACGCACAAAATCTACTCCAGACGGTCCTGCGTGGGGTCCACGCTGCAGAGACAGCCTGCATGACAGTAAATCTAACATTAAAAGAACCCCTAGCAAATTTGTAATATGAGGTCCTTCCTGTTCTATAGATAGATAAGATACAGCTCAAAGTATCGGTTATGTTATGTCCTGTGACTTGTCTCCTGAGTCATTAAAACTGTCCAATTACTCTCTTATTCCAGGGTTTGAAGCAGCCGGAGCCAAACTCAGATGGTGCAGAGGCTACAGCCTTGTGTTTCCAGTGGAGGAGGAAGCTGGAGATCCATCGAGCCCAGCAGACCTCTAACCCAGAGACTGATGATCTGGGTTTGAGGAAGACTTCATCCCACCCTGTAGCACCCAGTCTTGCTCCGCCAGTGAATGTGACCACTACCCCTTCAAAACTCAAGTAGTATTTGTGTCTCAAGAAATAAGAAGCCCAACACAGATCACATTCTTGTTTCCTATTTGATATAAAGACGTGAAACCCTCTTCACCCTTAAAGGGGACTGACATGCTTCGAGGACCCTTAAGCAAGGTGGATGACATAAAATAGTAGTGAAATATTAGTGAAGATGAGATTTGATGGTGGGAGAAGTATTCAGACTGTACTGGAGTAAATACACTCTATTACAAGTAAAAGCACTGCATTAAAAGTAAGAATACAGAAGTATCACTAGCAAAATGTACTTAATTTATCAAAAGTTAAAGTACTAAAAAATGGCAGTTGGCTGGCATTTTACTACATATTACATAGTTAATATTGATCACTGTGTAAGCAGCATTTTTGCTGTTGTAGCTGCTTGAGGTGGAGATAGCTTGAACTACTTTACATATAGTCAGTGGCTCCCAACCTAGGGCTCAGGCCCCTTTGATGTGTTACAGCATAAATCTGAGGGGTCGTGGAGGAGTTTTTTATATGAAACTCTGTGGTAATTTCTGGGACTTTTCACTTGATTTTTGCATTTTGTGAAATATTGAATCATTTTACTTTCTTTGCCTCAAACAGTGATTTAAATGAAACCATCCGAAAAGTTTAGAGGGGAAATGTCAATGACGGTTTGAAAGAAGTGGTTTGATCTTTAATACTGTTTTGTACATGTATTTAACTTATATGAATCTGAAAAGGACATAGTAACTACAGTTGTCAAATAAAATAGATAAGTAAGTAAGTATATTTGCCTCTGAAATGTAATGGAGCAGAAGTATAAAGTATTATAATATAGAAATAGTCAAGTAAAGTACAAGTACCTCAAAATTGTACTTCAGTATCATACTACCTGCTAAATGTACTTCCACCACTGGATATAACACTGGACCGGTTATGCACATTAAAAGACATTGCAACCTGATGATTCTGAAATAAAATACCGTATGTTTGATCTCTTTATTTCAGATATTCATAATAAAATCACTGAAATGTGATGGGCATATGTGTTGTTAAAATGTCATACAGTATTATTACAACCATATTCACCAAACTGACAGGAAAAAAATATAGCATTCATTAAAACACTCAAAAACAGACTGTACATGTGATACAAAATAGGCATTTACAATGTGACTTATGAAAACGATAAAAAAGGACACACAGCTTCACTTTCGGTCAAACAAGGATAGTTCACCTCAAAAGACACAGAACTGTCAAATAATACACACTGCCTAGCATTATGCCATCTTAAGCCTACAACTTTCACTCTTTGTAGCAAACATAACCCCATGTGAGTTCATCTAGTCAACTAAAAATAATTCAACATGAAACATAGTCATAAAGGTCGTATCTGTATCATATATATCTGCATCTTTCTTTCTATAGTACACTCTATTTCTTTCTTTCATTTGTTATTCTGATGAAAACAACTTATTTACAAGCTTGTCAGCAGTGAGAGTTTTGAAGCATGACAAATCAAATCAAGTAACCAATATTAATTTACTCCACAAACTCATTAATTAACTGGTTCGCAAGTCAGAAAAGCCTACAACACATAGGGCCACTTAAAATGAAAAAAGTCAATTCACAAAACAGAAATTGAACGGCTGCAATTTTACAAAAACCACACAGAATTTCTTCTCAGGTGAGCGGGGAACTGTCTCATACGTATTGCACAAACATTTCTGCAAGCAAGCTTAATTGTAGAGAAATTTAACACTGTAAAAGGAAACAGCAATCAGTCACTGCTACATACATTTTAGCCCGTTCCTAATGATGAACAAACTTCTGTATCTCAATATCAGCATTATGTAGCCTGTATGTGCCTTTCTTGGAAATGTGCATTAAAAAGGACCTGCAGGGATTCTTTTTCGATTATGTGACCTGATCGTGTCAGAGGACAAATCACAAACTCATATCAGGGTGTGGTAGGAAAAAAAACAGTAAATCTGTTGACTTATTGTGAAAAAATCCCTTCTCATAAAAGTGAGCATAAACATAAAAATCTCATAATATAAAAGTGTCTTGAAATAAATAAGTAAATACAAAAAATCTCAAGGGGGTTCATTTTATCGATCACATAGCATTTTGTCTCTGGCAACAGAGTGAATGAATGATCTATTCTACAGAGTGTAATGCCTGGAATAAACTCATAGTAATACAAGTTTACTGAACAACAATATGGGTCAGTCCTTCGTGAAAACTATACAAGTTAACATAATTCCTTGTTTTCTGGTTGTTTAAAATGTACATGGAAATCACACATTGATAAAAGACCTTAACAGACTTTCAAAATACACACTTGAGCATTAATATGATTATGTTAAAAAGACCTATGCACTGTGTGTGTGTGTGTGTGTGTGTGTGTGTGTGTGTGTGTGTGTGTGTGTGTGTGTGTGTGTGTGTGCGTGTGTGTCTGTGCATATATCGAGCATCATGTCCATACTGACAAATGTGTGGTGCACCAGATAGTATGTGATTCTATACAAGAATATTTATGTACAGAAATAAATAGATTCATGTAAAGTTAAATAAAAATTAATAGTGTTTACTGACAGAAGGGGGAAGCAGTGGGATCAAAAGTCTTGAACACGTCTTTAAGTGTCCTGTCATCTGCGTCCTCCTCTGGATTGTCCTGTTTTGGTTCTTCCTCCATGGCTTCCTCTTGCTCCTGCTCCTTCTCCTTCTTTTCCTCCGCCTCTTCTTGTGCTCCTGTGGAGCCCTGTCCTCCTACCTTAGCCTGCCTGGGGTCAGTGTACTGTGGTCGGATCAACCCGGCCAGTGCCTGGATGGGCAGATTATGAACTGCGGGGGGTTTCACAGGTGAGGCAGGAGGCACTGTGGGGGAACTGGAAGGTGGAGGCTGATCTGAGGCAACCTCTGTGCTTTTGGCCTCTTCGGAAGAGCCACTTCGTTGGGTTGGTGAGAGTGATGGTGGTGGAGTACTGTCTTTCTTATCTGGGTGTTTCAGAATCCCCACCTTTTTAGGAGGCTCTGCTTGCTCCTTCTGAGCCTGCTCGGTCTGATTACGAGGATCGTACAGACTGATGCCCCCGAGGATTGTGGTGGGACTCTCTAGCCCTCCACCAGAGGATGCCAGACGGGGGGCATACGGTGGCAGCTTCTCAGGCTCTGGCTTGGCTCGAGCAGTATGAGGAGAGGAGCTAGCACTGGCCTTCTGCAGCCTTGGGTCCACAACACCTCCCCCAGCGGAGGGCTCTTTCTGACCCAGCAGCTTGGAGTCCAGACTTCCTGTACGCTTGAGTCTGGGGTCCAAGGTCTTCTGCTGACGCGGATCTGCAGGTCTTTCTGCAGAGGTTCGAGACTCTAGAGATCCAGAGGACAATCGACTCATACGTTCCTTCAAACGTGCAGCTGCCAGTCTAGGGTCAGTCAGCGGAGGGCTAGAGACGGGGGGATGGTCAGGCATGCTTGTTCGGTTCATCTGAGCATCTGCAATTAGGGGTGGAAGGGGCAGGTTGATGGAGTGTTCCTGCTTGGGCACAAGGGAAGGGATGAGGTCCTCAGGGGCCCACACCACCGTCTGAGCGAAGGTTGGCCGCTGGAGCAGGATGTCCACCCGGATGTGGCTAAACTGCTTTAACTGGCAACGAGGGTCCCGCAGGACCACACCAGGGCTGGCATCTAGAGGGATGAGAACAGCTTTGTCCCTGAGCTCCCTTTCTCCTTCCTCATCATCATCTCCTGTAGGAGGCTTCTGAGGAGCAGGGTGGGTCTGCTGGCGATAGGAACTTGGCTCCATTGGTCTCATCTTCCTGGGGTCTCTGGAGAGCCGTGGGTCTGCAGCTCCATCCAACTCCTTTTTCACATCTGGTGGTCGCTGCCGAGGGTCTGTCTTCACACGGGGGTCACTGGGTGGGGCCCTCTCCTTCACAAGGCGAGGGTCACCCAGCACTGGCGCCACCGCGGCAGCCTGGGGGGGCTTGGACTGAGACTGCTGCATCTCGCTCTGCTTCTTTAGAGATTTAAGGATGGAGGAAACACAGCTCCCATCCTCCTCATCGCTTGAGTACCAGTTTGTAGTTTCATCTGTGGAGAATTAATTAAATGATTGATGATTAAATCATACTGAAGTGTTTAAAGTGTTTGTTCTCCCAGAGCATTCATAAATGATCTGTGTATTGACACCCTGTCACATCTGTGGCTTGTTTCCAAAACCAGGTTTACTGAGGTATAATAATTTCCCTGTGTCGTTTTACTTCAGTCTGTGCTCCATTTCTGAAGAGGTTCTGTGGTTTTACTTTATTTTAATTACCGGTAATTTAGCAATCCTGCTCCTGGCCCCTGGGACTTACCTCTGTTTGAATTATCATCTTGGCCCTCTGCTCGCTGTGGCTCACTCCCCTGTGGATGTGACTCTTGTTGTTGCGTCAGGTGTAAAAAGATGGCTTTCTGTACTGCAGGTGGTAAAGACTGCAACTGTGACTCTGCACCCATCTGCTGCTGTATGAAGGCCACACTAGGGTCTACCACGTTGAAAATTAAACACAATTTAGCAATTTCAGTGACAGTTAAAAAGGTAAATAAAATATTGTATAACCATATGAATATAATACTGACCTCCTTGTTGACCCATGGCCTGGTTTCGGAGAAAGTTACTAAAGAACTCTACTGGGTTCTGACCCAATGATGGAAAAGGGAAGAGGCCTTGCAGCATCTGCATGTCTGGTATTGGAGGGAACGGAGGCCTCTGCATATTCATCGGAGGGTTGATATTTGGTCGGTTTCCATGGAAGGGTGGGGGTTGACCAGGGGGGATTGGTGGTGGCATTGGAAATCCGTGTGGTGGTAGTTGTCCTGGTGGGCTCTGTGGCATGGGTGGCCCAGTGGGGTGGCCCACAGGAACAGGTGATCCAGGGGGAGGAACAGCAGGAGCAGAGGGGCCTGAAGGCACCATACCTCCGCTCTGCGTCTCCTCCGAGCCTCCACCTTCACCTTGATTCTGGGAGAAGTTGGATCCACTGGAAAAATAATGTGCACAATTAGGTTTAGGACGAGCTCCAAATACTAGTTTTGAGTTTGATTACACATTACTTTGGTTACCTCAGACCAATTTTGTGTGCCAAGTCTACAGTAGGTTGAACCTTGATTTCAAACAGTGAGGGGATCTTCTTCCCTGCTTGGCCAGAGGCTCCATCTGTAGGACTGCTCTGACCAGGAGTGGGCAGCAACCCCACCCCAGGAGGAGGCTTCGGAAGTGGGGCGATTCCCTGCTTTCTCAGATCCTCCAGCTCCAACTCGTCCTCACGGGCGTTCTCCTCTTCAGTGTTAATTATCTTATAAATGAGCCAGAAAACATAAATAGGACAGTTGTTAACCACTAGGTCTGAGACTTTCTTAGCATAGAGGTAATAATCAAAAACACTTCTTCCTTTTTGTCTTACCTTATCAAGCAACTCTTTGGTGACGTCAGTCAAAGCTTCGTGGGAGAATTTGCAGTTGTCCCCTTGATAACATTTGGCTCCAGTATGAAAGAACTTGCACGGGTATTCATGTACAGTCACAGGTTAAGGAACAGGGTTAATTAAATGGTATAATGAGATTTCAGTTAATTACTGTATGTGGTGCCTATTACACAAATGTGATTAACAATACTTGTTGTCATTGGTGAAGGATATTGTGCATGTAAATGCAATTATCTCCTTTACTGCAGTATCCTTGGAGGTAAAATTTACAAAGCTCCTTTTTCTTATCCGGTACTACGAGCTCATGTTCAAACTTGCACTGTTCCCCCTGTATGAAGAGAAAATTTTAAGGTAGGAGAGTGATTTTCTTTTTCAAATATTTCAGCAATAGCAATAGGCAATAAGCAAAAGAGTGCTACTATACCTTGATGCACCGACCCTCCAGGAAATACTTGCAGATGTATCTACCATTGTGTTCAACTGTGTGCTGATTGATAAACTCCTTGCTCATAATTGGCCGTTTCTTCTGAAAACCGGAAGAATTTTTTCCTTCCTGTGACACAAAATTAGCTAATTTGTTCATCTACGGTACAATCTGTACAGTACAAAGCTCAACAACACAGTTAAAAGCTGAAACACAGCAAAAAGTAAAAGAATGACCCTGTTTCTTATTTTAATGATTCATTGTGGATACCCATAAATATCTTTAAAACGCTTATCAAAATTTTAACTGTTCTAAAAATTTAAAGTCTTCTAAAAATACATATTAGTGTACATTGTGTTGCATACAAACAATATTTTAGCTTGATTCGCTCTGACTAATATAATACTAATGTAATAATTATGGTACAGAGAGTCAGCCAGTAATTGTAAATTGGGGGTTGGATCCCTGGCTTCTCCTGTCCATATGTGGTGTCCTTGAGACACTGGCAGGCCAGTGCCTTGCATGGCAGCTCTAAATTGTAGCACAGTGTCCGTTAAGTGCTATATAATGCAGTAATATATAATACTTCATTTTCAGGGGCATACTTACCGGTGCCATGTCTTCCATGCCCTGGTCTCCTCCTCGACCTCGTCCACGTCCTCCCCAGGGTTTGCCCTTCAGCTTCTTGTTCTTGTTGAGCATCCCACGTCCTCTTCCTGGTCCGCTTCCTCGGCCCCTTCCCCTCTGCCCAACTTAAAAAAGACATTTTGGAAGAAGTGAACAAACGCCGCTAACTTTGTTGACTCTCACACCTATCACATAAAACAGAATTTATAGTAAACATATATAGGTTACAGGAATGAAAAGCATTCATACACTGCTGTGGTTTCATCCCCCTCATGTTTCCTCTCTTCATCTGGTCTTTAGCATGGCGCCCCTTTCCCTGACTCTGGGAAGATGAATCTTTTGACTGTGGATACTCGGACATGTCATCTTCATAATCATCCTCCTCTTCATCGTAGTCATACTTGTCATCACTGTAGTCGCTGTATTTGTCAAAATCACTGCTCTTGTGTGGCGGGGACTTGCCGTGGCCTCCTTTTGAGTCCCGTCCGTGCTGGCAGGTCAACAGTCGAAGAGGAAAACTGTCACACACTAATGCTTATATGGAATATTTAAGAGTCAGCGTGCCAGCGGTGGCGGACTCACCTGCGAGGACTGGCCATCGGACTCACGGCTAGATCCCTGGCTCTTCCGGTTTTTGGGCCTTTCTAGTCGGTCGTAGTCAGAGTCGTAACTGTCAGAGCTGGAGCTGCTGGAGGGGGAGTGGTGCTGATGAGATGAGAGGGATCAAAGGAAAAACACAACATTAACGATTTAGTCCACATTAGTTTACATTCATGTCTTTATGTTGTATCTACAGGTATAAGAGCATCCTACTTTCTGTCTGTCGCGCCTCCTCCTTTTAGACCTCCTCTTCTCTCTGGTCTTTTTGTATCTTTTCCTGGAGTGTCTGTGAGTCTTTTCTTCTTTCTCTTTAGGTTTTTCTTTTTCCTTCTCTTTCTCCTTGTCTTCGTTCACCTCTGTGGCCTCTTTGTTTTCCTCTTCAATCCCAATCCCTTCATCATCTATTTCTCCATCTTCAAGTTCGCCATCCTCTCTAAAAAAGAGGAGAACCGTACAGTGAGTATACCTGTAAGGGTTTTATATGCACTACTGTCAGCCTCAGACATCGTTAAATGGTTTTCACATCATGAGCAAAACATCTGACAAGCAAATAATCCAAAATCACCTACTCTAATAATTTAATAAGAAATAAAAATGAAACTCTCATAATGTATTTTCCGTTCATTTGGAGCAAAGTAGCAAATATAATGCCAGACCGCGTCCAATACGCCCTAAGCCTTTCCTGTACTAAAACATCCTGTCAATAATTCAAGGCTAAGTTTTGATTTCCTGTGAACCAGTGGGCACTTATTTTATGAAAATCAAAAGAAATTCCACTTCATGAATGAAAACGATGAAAACCTGTGATTTCTAGAAGCAAGGTTGTTCAGTTTCATTATATAATGACAGCATGGAGTCAAAGATATAATTTAAGCACACATATGTCAAAAAGCCAAAAATCTGGACACTAGAATACAGTACATGTAATTTATGATCGGCCCGTAAGCATAATTTTGGGAGAATTTGGGGCTTTCTTTCTATTGTTTGCTGCAGCGCCCATCACATACATGTTTATGTTTCATGTCACATTTCAGACAGGGATGGTACATTTAAAACTAACTGGTTATAACACTAAAGAGTGGCAGTTAAAAGCTTTTGTAACACTTGGTGCATATTTAAAATCATGCCCAGACCAGCTGTTAATTAATACATTCTGTATTATAGTAATGACTGATACAGAGCGAATATCATGTAAAAGTATCCTAAAAAGTTTGACAAAAAATTGTCCATGTGAGACCATTCCCTATCAAAGAATGACAACGGTATATATCATCATTTCAGGGTTGATATTCTGTAATGTCAGCTGCTTCAAAAATATAGTGCCAGTAGGAGCATGAAACAAAAACACCATGAAATGGGAAAGAATGTCCACCCACTGATCCAGGTTTGTTTTCACAGACACTCGCCACCTCTTCCTCTACAGTCAGCGTGGATCAGCCTTCAACCTGACACCCTCCACATCCAAAGCTACTGTATCTTAAATCCACTTTTAGCCCGGTTAAAGCAGCATAGACCTCAAGATTCAAAATGAAACATAAGTTAAATATGTTGCATATGATTTGTAGAACTGGCAATAAAATCTTTTCCTATTTCCCATTTGTTCATAATGATGTACCTATCTGAAGATTAATAACAAATGTAGACAACCAGCATTACTGTTAGAATACTATTTATAAGCATGGTAACGGATAACTATTTAACGTGTATAGAAAAAGGAATTTTCTAGTGATACCATAATTACAACACTACGAGGTGCAATAAAACCACAATCTCATTTTTTCCAACCTATTTTTTGACCAATTTTAAGAGCTTAAAGAAGGTCTATCCATGTAAAGGGCAAAAAAAAAAAAGCCCAGTCTGAGGCATGGAAGGTGTGAAATAAAGAGAGGCACACCTTTACTATCTGAGACAACACCAGTTGGGTTTTCTTGCCAACCCCAAACTACATTGACTGTTTCTTCTTCGTTGCATGAACTTGTGTTAAGACAGTAAAAAAAAAAAACACCTGGTGAAAGCTGTGGTTTGACACCAGCTCAACTCTTGGCCCTCTTTGCTCACATGGTCTGACAGCTCCCCTGTCTGTCAAGGACTAGAGACCAATCACAAGGACACAGGCATGGCCTAAACCCAGCAGAAACACATAATCTCAACCCTGCGTGAACCCTGTCTCAGCAGTACTGCCAGGTGCCCGCTAGGGGGGAGTACGGTGCGAGGATGGGCGTGGCATTTCCATCATAGTCATTTGCATAGTCTCCTGCAGATGGCAACAATGAAGCCATGAATCCATCCCAGTACCACAACAACACAAACGATGAGGTCTGCTACCTTGCATGGAAAATAATCATGAATGAGTCTTTATCGACGCGGTGATGGGAAATCTAGGCTATTTTGGACAGCGTTACTCAATTGCACCAAAAAGGCATGCAAATATATATATATATTATTTTTTTTGAGAGAGAGAGGAGGGGGGGGGACCGTGGACTCTACACCCTGCAATTCATGGTTAAAAAAAAAAAAAAAAAAACAGTAACACAAGCATGTAGACCCACAGCACTGAAACGCACAGATGAGCGTATTAAGAATTGCATAAGAATATTACTCGACCTTTCATCCCCTGCAAGCTCAGAGTCTGTCATGTTTTTGTCAAGAACAGGGGCTGGGGGACTGGAAACAAGGCTCACAGAAGCCATTGGAAAACGGATCTGCCTCCCTTCTCTCCGGTACAAGAGTGAGTTAACTCAGTTCACTCAAGGAGACGTTGGGTTGTGAGAGATGCTGGAAGAGTTCAGACTGGAAAAAACTCACGGTGTTACATGTCTCGACAGAGACAGTAAACAGACACTCTCCTCTTTCATATCAATGACGTTTTAACTCTGTGAGCACAGCTTGATACCCCGCTTTGCTAATGTCCCGTCGGTTGACAGCTGCCATGGTGAAAGAGAGGAGACGGAGGGAGAAACAGACAGAAATGTAACCATGTTCGTTGATTTCAGCATCTTCCTAGGGTTTCTCAACAGGGACATCATCTCAAAATGGCTTCTGAGGTCTGCAGCACATTCCTAGATTGTGTGTTGCCCCGCGTATATATAGCCCCATCGGGATCGATCTAACTTGGTTACAACAAATCCTCATTCGCTATTGGTCAGACGTCGCACGAGCGACGAGAGCTGCGATTCTGATTGGTTCAAATCCATGTCCGTTATTTTTAACATCTGCAACGATGAAGTATATACGACGCTCAGTTTAGTCTTTTATCAACGGTTTAATGTGTCTATTACGCAGTTATAACGACTCAAATATATTGTATTTTTTTGCGTAAAGCAGCTGAAGCTAACTGCCGTATCGATGTAACAGTAACTAACGTATTTATTTCCCTGTTTCTTTTTTTTTTTACACTCACTGGCTGACGCGCGGACCAAGAACGCGCACAACCGTTGGATGAGCTCAATTGCGCGCGCCCGTGCAGTTGCTGCCATGGGCAACCAGGTGTCGCTCCAGCTCTAGAAAACAAACCTAGCTAAGCTAATACACGTCCGTATTCATAATATGTTTAGTTAATTAGACTAACAAGTTAAAAATTATTGTTTTTTATTAGTTTACAGAACAATGTAGCTTTAACAGTTAGTTGTGGTCTGTTGCGTTTAGGCAACTCTGTCCATTATTAATAATATTAGGAGGAAGGTGATTTTGTGAGGGGAAGGAAACAATATTTTTTACTCTTAAAGGCCGTGTAAGTAAAAACATAATTAATGTTATATTTTCCCAGATATAGCTACGTTTATATTGTGGTGAAACTTTCCTTGTCAGCCACAGGGATGCAGAGGGCGATGTTTGTCTCGGTGGGAGGGATTCCTGCTGTAGGAAACCTAGGTGGCGTTCAGAGCTCGGAGGCTGAACTTTCCGAGAGCCACATAAAGAGAGACGGGAGCGCATCTCTGCCTCAGACACCTGATGAGCATCTCCAAGGAACCAGGGGACGAAACTACACAAGAAATTATATTTTTTTCTTCTGGATATTAAAGAAGCACCATTAAAAAAAAAAAAAAAAAAGATTTTAAAATCTTGGAGAAACATCAAGAGGGAATTAGTGCTTTATTGTTACTGGACTTTTCAGAGATGGCTCTGTCTTTTCGACGCAGGTGCTTGCTTTTGCTGTGTTTGACAGCTATCCAGAGTGGTCATGCTGCCGTTCAGGTAAGAGCTATTGACATTAGTTTATGCAACAAGCACTAACTTGTCCAAGGAGATCTGCCGCCTGGACAAACCTGCTCAATAAAGTGCTACTATATGAAATCTGACCATGTTTATTAACATATAAATAACACTGAATATTCGACATATTTATTCATATTCTAATCCTCTCATCCATAAAAAGTCACCTCAACAAATAAATTACTAACAATAATTGTTGTTTTATTCTGTTTTAGGACTTTATCCAGTTCCCATCTATTGTGATTGTGTGTTAAACTTTTGTGTTAAGTTCTGCAAGGTTTATGATCACAGGCTACAGTTTCCACTGGAGGAATTAGCCTATTTGATAGGCTACTGAAAAAAAGAGAAAAAGAAATCATTGTAGCATCCGGATATGAGTCCTCTCATGTCTTGTCAGCTGGTGGCATTTCCCCTTTGCCTGGGGCAGGTACTGAGCACTGTCTAACTACTGCACAGGTCCAAACTATGTGCGCAGTGAATTTAAATGTATTGAAGCTAGTTGTTATTGTACAAAGCCTCCCTTCTAAAAGCCAGTGCAGGAATTTAAGGTATGCTGCACAGAGAAATTGTTCCAATGAGCATGTGATTAATAAACCCCTCCTGAAAGGATTAGAGGCACTTTTCCCTGAGGAACTTTGTAAATGGCTTGACAAGCTTTTCCCCCTTCAAGTAACTGCTAGTGGCACCCATGTTGTTTTGAGTCTGCCCATTCAGGATTATCCAATGAGCATGTGCCTTCCTACCGCCATGCAAAATATACAGAGGAACAGCATTTTGGACTTAGGTCCCACTGACATCTGCCAGACAGCTTTTGTCCAGCTGTGTCTGCCACTGGAGTTGTGGTAGTAAGAGGAAAGAAGTGAGAAAGAGAGAGAGAGAGAGAGAGAGAGAGAGAGAAGAAGAGAGTTGGACAGCCCAAGATCTCTCATATGTGAGTGCAATGAGGTCTAATGGAAAATAGTAGAAAGCAAAAATAGTTTGAAGTAAAAGTAACCATGGTGAGTTAGAGAATCCTGCAAGTATAGTAAAAAAAAAAAATACTAATACGTCTCGTCAGTGTTACATAATGTATATTTAATATCAATGAAAACTCTCTGTAACCATAACGACCACGTGCCCACCAATAAGATGGATTTAGTTTAAATTACATCATGCTCCACAGCTGCACATTAGTGTTTATTCACCGCTCATGTTCTATATTTTACGACCATTAAACCGAGCTAACCTTTACTCCTGCGCTCGTTTTCTGGTTGGAAATTCATTGCATTTTGAAACGTGTTTGCCAAGACTCTTTTATAACTCTTAATTCTGCTCACAGTGCCTCATGCTTTATTCACAGACGTGCATGGATAAGCACCAGGTGGTCGGGGTGCTTCGTCAAATGGAGAAGTTTCTGAAAGGCCAGGAGATGCGGTTTACGGAGGGCCTCAGGATCATGAAGTCAAAGCTGGCAACGCTTCAGAACTCTGTCTCCAAGATGCCTCAAGCAGACCAGTCAGCTGGTGAGTAGTAAACAGAGAGCAACACTAACACCATCCTAGTCATCATCATTGTTATTCTCATAGGCATTTATCACAGCGGACATTGTAGGATAAGCACAGGTGTTACTAAAAACATTAACAATAGCTCTGTTATGTTCAAGTGTCCCAGTAAGCAATGACAGTAAGTGTCTCACTGTAGGTCAATTGAATTAATAATTAGATTATTTACACCTGTGCTTTTCTCACTGTTACATGTCAAAGTGTCTTTGGTGAGAAAAGGTTTGCCTTCAATCATCATCTTCATCAACAGTAAAAATAAATAAAGAATATTCATTTATAGAAATAATAAACATGCTCTCTCTCTCTCTCACACACACACACACACACACACACACACACAGGTGTTTTTAATCAGTCCATCTGATTAGATTGAGGTTTAATTGAGCACAGCTAATGTACATAATATCACCATTAGTGTTACATACCTGTATGTATACATTTTAACAGTGTAAAACTGTAATGTTAACTTTCTGTTATATCACACATTTTATAATAAACTGGGTTCTAATTGCTCAGAAAAATAAATGTGTGTTGTTTTTATATCTAGGAGTTAAAGACTATTATTTGTTCAAAAGCTTTGAATATATTCCACCATTCTCTGCTTATTTGACCATTTGGCGTAGATGTTGTAGGAAGAAATATTTATACAACTTATACAGATTTTCCAGTAAACTATTGAGTGGAGTGTTATGTTATTAGGTTAAATGCAATACACATTTATAATACACATTTGAAAATATTAATTGTGCATTTATGCAAGATGATCTAGTGGATGCCATTCTAATATTACTAATACAAAATAAGTTAACCTTGTGATGCTTTGGATCCCTTTACACATATGTTTTCACAGTAAAAGCCCACCGAACCTTTCACATGCATGCGTGATATAACTGAGGTTTTGTTCAGTAATTCAGCGAATGATTATTCAGCTAGAGGCAACAACAGATTCCAAAGTATCAAATTTACAACATTTTAGAAACATTCAATTGTTTGAAGTTGACCTTCAAACAGTTTTTTTTTTTGTCAACCAGTGACAATAGAGAGCCAGATGTGGCTTCTTCCATTATGGGATTATATATTCATCCAACAGCGTGAGGCCATCTCAGTTACAGAGCTGGGTACTTGATAGGGGAAGTGGATTCGTGGAATTGTGTTGTTTGGCAGCAGGCACTGAGGCCAATTTGTTAGTGACGGACCAGTGCAGTCCATAGCTCTGTGGAGAGTACTTGGCAAGACAGGAAGAAGCTGATATTTTACATTTACAGCAATAAAGGCTGAAAATGGAAAGATAAAAGGGAAATTACAGCACCACCTGCTTCAAATGGATGAAAGTCCAACAATCCACTTATAAATAAAAAACAAATCTATTTTCGATTCAGATATAATTTAAAATATATGTAGCTAATATTATCTAAATAATATTGTACAGCATTAGCCAACTCTACAGTATATGCTTGCCTACACTGTACTATACATGCAAAAAACTATTTACACATTTGTACATCGAAATTGGTGAGAAAGAGACACAATGGGTTTTCATTTCACTACACTACAAGCCTGAGCTGAACATGGTGGAGGTCTGAACATGACTGACTTATCAAACAGTATCTTCAGTGTACTGGCAGTGGTTTTTACTTGAGGTTGAAAGAATAGGAAACATTTTCTCACAATCCTCCTTGTTGGATGAAGCATAACATTCTTATAAGAGCTTAAAATGTAATACATTTATAATGTTATGTAATGTAATTACGTTATACAAAGTTGGTTGCTCCTCTCTGACACAGAGACGTAATGAGCACTTGTATCTTTCTATCCAAAAATGCCTTATTTGCCATTTGCCACCCCATATAACAGGACCTTATCAAACTCACTCTGCTGACTGTCTCATGCTTCACGTCCTGCGGTTTTATTCTGAACTTGGAAAATCTGTCTTTAGCGTTTGTACACCAAACTCATGGAGTTATCAGCAACATATTCTGAAGATTGACACTCTCACTACCCCCGGACAACTGAAGCCAGTGATCTTAAAACTTCAGTGTGTAGGGTATTGTCATCCTTTGAATGGTTCAATTTAATTTAATTATTATTTGTTTTAACTCTGCATATTCTTCTGTTTCTCAGTATAAATGTGGGGGATCTTAATGATTCTGGAGATTTGATTTTAATTGAATTGAATACATATTATGCAAGCATTAAACTTTCCAGAGCATGCAATATAGCACAAAATTTTTTGTTCTGATGCATAAAAATGGCAGGTCCTGTGCTGGTTGACTGTAAATGAGGCATTTGAACCGTCCTTTCCCATGAAGGGATGAAGGCTCTGCACTGCCCAGTGACACGTGTATATCCCCAGGCAGAGAATGCCAGAGGATGTCGGGAGGCTTACTCCACATGTGACCAGCCTTCCTCTCGTGCTCTCTTTCTCTCTCCCACAGCTCCCACCACCTGCCCCTCTCTGGAAGCTCCCGCTCATGGAACCAAGTTTGGCTCAAAGTATTTTGTTGGACATGAGGTCCATTTCACTTGTTCCCAGGGCTACCATCTTGTCGGTTCTGCCACGCGTGTTTGCCAGGACAACGGCACCTGGACCGGCATCAGTGCCACCTGTAAAGGTGAGTTTCTAGTTTGTTGAGCAAGATACAGCAATTCCAGGCCTATTAACCTGCCACAAATCCTCATTTTCAGCTACACTACCTTTTTTATCACTGGATTAGGAACTTGTCTATGACTTTCTCCACACATAATGATATATCGACTACCATCTATGTATGATTTGGTGGAAGGATTGCTGTATCTGTGCATTATTCACTGTTGAGCAAAAATCCCCACACCCATTTAGGGCGACCTTGGCTCAGCAGTGTCTGAAAGCCAGACTGAAAGAGACAGCAGCCCCAGAGGCCAAACTGAGCTCCTCACACGTACACAGATAACAGGCAAAGAAAAGAGCCATTCTTCAGAGTGGCTGGAGCTCCTCAGCATACTGAATGAAGCCCTCTTTAAAATGGCATTAAATGTCTCTGAACACAGAAAAACACCTGTACTGCATTCCACTGTGGGGTGCCTTACCCTCCAGCTTTCTACTCCTCATGAGCAGCAGTGGTTGGGCTACTGTAAGATAAACCCCCCCTCTCTTGCTCATGTTTCCCTGGTTCTTTGACAGCAGTCCCACTGGATGGGGTTAGGTCCAGACATTAGACCCACACCATGGTCTGATAGCACAGAAGTATTCTAAGCATGCTATTGATAGCCCCTTCAGCTTGCGCTGGTGGCACTCATCCAAAAATTCCAAGTGGCACACTCAGTTGAACATGTGCATACGTTTATTGACATTCATGGTTAAAACAACATGCAAAGGCTTGACTCTGCACAGCATTATCCCTGTTCATGTTTTTCAGCCCAGAGTCAGAGGTCTAAATTTAGTCATGCTTAAAAAGCAGTATTGACGGAGTGTGAAAACTTTAAAGTTACGAAGAGTTTAAAAATATCTAGCAGAGTGAAGTGGGCCTTTTCATGTTATGACCCTGTGGTGGCCCCTGGGGAAGTCAAATAAACATTAAAGGGATTGGTTGTCATCCAGTATACCGTGGCCTCAGCGCTGCAGAAGCTGCTTCATAATTTGAACATCTGCACAACTCTCAGAGCCGACTAGAAAAACAGATCATAAGGCATGATGTACGATTTGGCAGAACGCATTTTAGAGTCGATCACCAATCAGTGTCATCCCTGCTTCTGTTTTTATAAACAGTAGTTTTTATGTATCAAATATTAGTACATTTTAATTTAATAGAGAGAGAAGGACAGATACAGAAATGCAATAGTAACAATGACAGTAACAATAACAACTATAATAATAAAAATATGACTAATAGTAATAACAGTGATGATGACAAGGGTGATAACAGCAATAATAATGATGATGAGGTCGATGCTTTAGAAACGCTTGTAAAGATATTTGCATGAAAACATGAGTAGAACTGCTGTAAACCTGAGAACTATTTCATGGGAACTTATTAAGAAGGTGTGCAGCAAGTAATCTATAACTTTTAGTTTCGCTGAAAGAAAAAAGCCTTCAAATCAGAACAAAGGCTAAAAAATATACAAGTAAAACATAGAATATGTCCGTATAGGTTAACAACAACAATTTTAACTTTGAAGATGCAGATGGATTTTTACTGAATTACATTTTAGTAATGGCCCCCATTAGATTTTATCAAGATAAGTACTAGTTTTCCACAAATAGAACAAATAAGAGGGCATGACTGACTTACTGCCGACATACTGTGCCCATAATGACAGTACCAGTTTCTCATTCTAAAGTATCAGCTATCAAACTGGGTGGACACTTGTTGCTGGATGGATGGTTGACAGGAAAGGCTCACAGAGGTTCTTTCATTTTTTTCTGTATGTGTCACACTCTTCATCTTTTCAGTGAAACCTCAAGCAAACCTTCAGCTTTTTTTCCACAACAGGACCTAATCTTACCATCATCTTTCCATTACGCTGTTCGATGAATAGAGCTGCAGAGGATTTCAGCCAACCATAGACATTCTTTGACTATGTTTTGAATTGTTCTATATATTTTATTCTAAGACCTGTATCAAGCACCTAGTCTTCTTTATTTTGTCAAGGTTGGCAGATATCTTTGGCTAATCTTTTCATCACTTTACACAGCTGCATATATATAAGGAACCTTCACCCTAAGCTGAAGGTTATGCAAGGAGCTGTGACAACAGTGTTGAAGGGAGCATCAAAACAGCATAGTAGTATTTTTTCATGTTCATCTCAGAAGGAACAACCTCTAATGTGACTGGAAAAAATCTGTATGCCTCAGTAGGATAAAAAACAACTGGAAACTGCTGAATAAGTTTCTCCACAGGTTGACTACAGTGATCATTCTCTCCTACACCTACAGATATAAGTGAGTGTGCAAGTAATCCCTGCCAAAATGGAGGTACCTGTGTGGAAGGTGTTAACCAGTACAAATGCACCTGCCCCCAGAACTGGAGTGGGTCTCACTGCCAGCACCAAACCCAGACAGGTCAGTACTAGTAATGAACGTGGGAGAGTCTTTGTTTTGTTCATATTTGCATGGCTAAGATCGACAACTGTACATGTGTACAATGTGTTCAGCTTAAAATTGCACAGATCTTACTACATATGTTCTCCCTTGATGCAGCACCACCTGAGTGGAGTGTTATGAATGATCCAGCATTCAGCCGGAGACCTCGCTGTGCCCAAGTGAACCGGGCTCAACACTGCAGCTGCGATGCAGGCTTTCACATGAGTGGCACCTCTGACAACAGTATCTGTCAGGGTGAGCTGTAATTATGTGTTATTTAATTGATCCCTGTGGGGAAACTTCTCCTTTTGCTGCTCCTGCTCACAGGGAAGCAAGGTCAGCTACAGAGCAGTTCCCTCGAGCTGGCGTCCTGTTCAACAACATCTCAGCAGGATAAATAGCAGATGTTATAGGGGCTTTACTGCTGAAAATATCAGAGAATACCTGAATCTTTTTCTCCTCTAGTGTTTAATAGGGTTACAAATGTTTTCCACAGATTCCCACAAATCTGTGGAGCAAGTCTGTGACAAACAAAATAATCCTCTCGAGGGGTCACAAGCTGATTAGCATCCATTTAGGTCACAGTTCAGTTGCTTTTAAGATGTAATTGGTTGCATGCAGTTTCTCCTAATGTTTATGATGCTCAAGGGACAAAACTAAGGGACCGAAATACTGACGACAACCTGAGAGAAAGATGGCCTGGTCATGTGATGTATGTTTAAGGGCCTTTCTTTTTCTGTTTTTTTGACAGACGTAAATGAGTGTGAAGTGTATCGGCTGGACCAAGGAGGGAAGCTGTGTGTCCACGAGTGTGTGAATGTCCCGGGCTCGTACCACTGCTCTTGCCCCAGCGGCTACAAGTTGCTCCGAGATGGGCGGAGCTGTGAGGGTGAGTGACAAGAGTGAGCAGAGGACAAAGGCTCATTCACAGGACCCTGGCTACAGATCTGGCAGGGTATGCAGCTCCAGAGAGGAATACCTGTGATTCAGAAAGACGAGGAGCCTTTAGCAGCGGAGCTTTTAGTCTCTGCAGAGGTGTCTGTCAGTCCACTTTCATTTGCACCCCTGAAGCTTACGATGCTTGCCAGTGGAATGAATGACCTCACCGTTTCCCAGAAGAAGGGATCTTTAGGACATGAGGCGTTTGTGGGAGACTAAACTTAAAAAACCAAATAAACAATCACAGCACAGCACCCCCTGCTCAGACTGTGGTAACCAGGAAGCAGGGAGTCAGTCTGGCAAGTCTCTCTTCCTCTTCTCATTCTTACATACCTCCGCTGTTTTGTCTTCCAGATGTGGACGAGTGTTTAAGCCAGCAGCACAACTGTAGCCGAGGGACAACTTGTATCAACACGGGGGGAGGCTTTCAGTGCGTCAGCCCAGAGTGTCCCCGTTCTCATGGCAACATCAGCTACGTCAAGACATCTCCCTTGTAAGTGGATACACCCCAATGTGACCCGTCTTTGTCATTTGTATTGACAATTAAAAGCTGTAGAAAAAATAAGCCAGGGTCACATCTTCCACGTTTCAGCAGGAAATTGTCATTATCTTTCAAATGGTCATCTGCATACTGAATCAGACCCAAGTGTGAGACACTAATGGGCTCCTGGCAGACATTTTGACTTGTAATAGCAAGTAAAGCAGTAATTAAATTGATGACTGCTGTGTTCAGGTGTGCCAGTAATCCATTTCAGTGAACCAGAATGTGCAGTAACAGGTCGAAATATGTATCTGCAGTAATAATGAAAGAGAGGTGCACTTGAGCACGGTGTTACAGCATCAACAGTTCTCCAGCTAAACTCAGGTTTCATACAACTTGGGACTTATTTTGGTAGTTTTGGCCACCATTGCTATTGGTGGAAACACAACATTAAACTCACCATGGTAACTGCTGAGAGCTGGCAACGTTGCATTATCGCTAACAGGCAAGTTAACCAAGCGTTTTTTCAAGGGAAGTTGAAGTCGGCTGACGAAAACGTTACTAAAACTGCTTTAAACAGTCACAGTTTACTGACTGACCAAACTGGTTCAACTTTGACCTGCTGTACTTCCTGTAGTTGTGTGCAATGAGAGAACTTTTGGGTGCACTCGCTTTCAGTTTTACCTCCAAATAAAGTGCTTTAGATAATCTGACTAAACCTGTCTGATTGTCTGACTTCTTTTTTCGCATCGGATTTCGTCATAGTGATTCTCCCGTGCTCCCAGATGAGTACACTGTTATCAAAACCAATAGAAATGATGACAATAAAAAAAAACGTTGTGGTTATAGCTGTATCACAGTGAAGCAAATTGTTCCTGACAAAGAACATGCATGCTCAGCAGAACTTCACTAGATGACGTCTGTTGCTTTTTTCTTTAAAACCGTGTAGTCTGTGTCCTGGCCAAATGTTTGGAGACATTACAACTTCCATGTCCTTGTTTGCCAGTCATCAGCAAGCTGCCTCATTTAAGAGCATGAAACAAAGCTCTGTCTGCTTCTACTGAACCATCAATGTGGTGAAATACTGTTCCACTGCCAGCTAAGGGGATGGTTAAATGTTTGGGAAAACACTTGTAACAAGGGAGAAAGCAGGGACTCGAGTAAGACAGAAGCCATGTCCCCATTTCATACTACATACTAATGCTAAGCATTCACAATGAAGAAGTACGTGACCGAAGGACACATCCTCTTCATTTTTGGTATGTCCTACAATGCAGTGCTTAAAGGAAATAGCTACTCACAGCTGCAAGAGATTAAAACAAATTGTAGATGATGAGGGCAGCTTCAGAAAATCTAAATTAAAAATGTATTATATCTTTGGATATATTAGTAATAATATAATAGTTCTCTTTCTTGTGAGAAAGGAAGTAAGATAGAAAAAAGTTCACAGCTTGCTATGAGCCAAGATTTCACAGCACTTGACGTCTGTGTGTATGTAGGTATGTGTGGCAGCTCTCTTTAGTCACAAAGAAACTGTTATGAACACTTTCCCACAGGAAAAGATTAATGATGCAATCATTTTCTGTGTGACAAACTGTTAAACACACATTTTGTCCTGTAATGCCATCTGGCTTAATAATCTGCTGCATTTCTGTCCTGCAGTCAGTGTGAGAGAAACCCCTGCCCCATGGACAGCCGCTCCTGCCACCTGGCCCCTAAGACTGTGTCCTTCCATTACCTGTCTCTGCCCTCCAACCCGAAGACTCCTGCTACGCTTTTCCGCATGGCGACAGCCACCGCCCCAGGGCGCACCGGGCCGGACAGCCTTCGCTTCGGCATTGTGGGTGGAAACTCCCGAGGCATCTTTGTCATGCAGCGTTCAGACAGACAGACCGGTGAGCTGATACTGGTCCAGCAGCTCCGCGGACCACAGGAGATCAGCGTTGATGTGGACATGTCCGAGTACAGCGACCGCACCTTTCAGGCCAAGCATGTGGCCAGGGTCCACGTTCTGGTTTCACCTTACAACTTCTGAGAAGACTAGAGACAGAGAGGTGAAGAGGAACAAAGAAGAGTGTGTAATGGGCACTGAGTTTACTGATACTGTTTCTTCATCACCTGTCAGAAATTAATTTGTCCCAGTAGCTGAGGTGAACATTTGTTCAGTGGCCAAATTACCAAAAGAGTGAGAGAGTGACAAGCCAATATTTAACAGTTATATTATGAATAACAGTATATGACAAAAAACACATCATAGATGCTTCTTTAAATAGTGTCAGTATGAGCTTTGACTGATGATGTTTGAGTGTGTTTGAAGCATAATGAATGGGTTGGGAGGGATGGATAACTGCGTTTGTCATTGCTGTTGCTTTATGTCTGTGTTATTATGTCCATCATAGATCATGTCTGTGTAGCTCAGGGTCAGGCCCCGGGGCTGATGCACTGCCCTCGCTTTATTGATGATAAATCCCTATAAGACATTAGTGCTCCTGTGGCTCTAATTTATTGGAAATATTGTTGCTGGTTTTTATATTGTAACATACTGTACACCACATGTTTATCTTCCATCATATACTGTATATTTGTTTTGTTTTTTGTACTAGCTTGCTATCGTTTAAGGCACCATTCATTATACTAAGGGAGTTTTTTTTTTAGAGTAGACGCAGTACTGTACCTGGGCATATTTCTTCTATTACTCACATTCTGTATCTTACCCAGAAATAGTCTCATTATATTCTAAATCAAAGATGATTTGGCAAGCTTGCCAATGCACTACACAATTTATCTGGAATTTTAATTGTCTCTACATAACTGAAATAAAGTCAGTCCAACATTTCAGTATTTGTTAGAACTACCTCACTTGATGCTGAGCAGTGTGCTATTAAATGTCCTTGTGGCAGTGCTTGTTTTCATTCTGGACCCATTATGAGTGAATTTTAATGAGCGAAATCCAAACCAACGCATAGCTGATAAATGAAGGCTAGATGGCTATAAAAAGTTATCTGACAGAATGGATGAAAGGTTAGGAAGAAAGAATGTGTGTTTTATAATATAACCTCCTGGGGCAGTAGTTCACAGACAATACAATTCACAGCAACATTTCCCACATGGCTTGGAAACAAAAGGAGTTTCACAGTATTTCCCTTTGATTTTAATACAGTAACATTTTAAAAAACATATCTCAGTGTGTCTATTTGTTAGAGAAAGAAGAGACTAATGTTCACCACATGTGTTCTCTTAACTTCCTTCACGTCTCCATCCAGGGGTTTACATTGCAATAAAAGGGGCCAAAAGAGCTCCATGCTTCCAGGAGGAGGAGTGGGTGGCGAGAATCAAAACACATGCCCCGACGGCACACACTGCTCTGAAAATGACAACGTGCCTTAATGGCAGGCGTAATTTCCTTCGGTAACCATACCAGGAGCACTCACATTGCAGCCTTTGTCCCAGGCTTGCGCTCGGGCTGTTTGATGTTCACATGTTTCATCCATTCTGAGGCGGAAGGATATTGCCAGAGACAATTTGAGAGCGCTGAGCTACATAACACAAGCCATTTGCTGGAGAGTAATGATAAAAATATACAGTTAAGGGCCTTGAGTCAAAGCCAGCACAGAGTGTGGTTTACACTCGTTTTATGTCAGAGCCACAGAAACATGGTGATGGTCATGGTGACTTTAGTGCACTGCATGATGGGTGAACAAAACAGAAACACACATACAGTAGATGGTATATGGTAGCCTGCAGTAAATACCAGTTTAATTAAGCTTCTAGTGTGTTTTTGAAACGTTTGGTGTTGGTATGACCCCTGTTCTTTGTTCCCTTTACCAATACTTTGCACCACGTTCCTCCATATGCTCAAAGCTGAACTGCAGGTTGAAATGGGAGCAAATACGAACACCGAAAACAAGTGTTTTGTAGTCGAGTATCCCAGGAAACTGAACAGTAGTTGGCCTATAAAGCTCCCGGTCACATGCCACCTACAAAAAGCACATGTACCTTTTGACAAAAAGGAGGAAGCTATCTCCACATCATAAATTCTTGAAATTCCAGTAAATACAGTATCCCCCTAAAACAACAACTTTACCCATTCAAGCACAAAACCATAAGTCATTTTGAGGTGACGCTTTGAATCTATCATTGGATCTCCATCAAAACAGAAAAGAGGCACGTGTGTTGCTGGTGGGTTAGTCCAGAATGAAAGGCATTGTGGAGGAATTTAGCTTTTTACTTTTATTATCCAGGAGGAGGGGGGAGAGGTCGTCCGTAGATCATCTTTCATGTGGGATAAATGTTTGGAAGAAATCCAGAGATATGTGAGAGTATAAGGAAAGCAGAATGAAGGTCCCTTTGCTTCTGTCTCAGGCTTTAAAATGACCTAGGATCTGCCATTACAGACCATAAGAATGACAGAAAACATATATGATGACCTGACATGAAAACAGCAGTAAATTATAATGAATTCATGTAGCAGGTTGCTCAGTTTTAAATAGGCACGGGGACTCTCTAGTTTGTCCTCACAAAGAGAACAAGGTGGTTTTACTGGTGCTTCTCTCCTTTAATGGAGGATACAAACTCTGAAACTCATGTGTTTCAGCCTTAACACCTGGTATAAAGGTGTAACTTCATTTTCAAAGATTTAACCAGTTTGGTCTCCAAAATAACAACTTGCAATGTTGTCATGGCAAGTACATTGTTTTGTGGATTTTATGTTGTTTCAGTCCTCTTAGTCACAAGCCTATTAAAAGCTAATGGCTTGAAAGAAAACTATGGGTTTATATTTTCAGCAACTGGGCTTCATTCAAACTCTCCCCTCAGTTTTTCAGTCTGCATTTCATTATCATTCATCACAATTTTACTCACAATAGTCCATTCATTCAAACAGTTACTTCTATTTCCTCTTGAATCTGGTATTTGAAAAACAGACTTAAAAAGAAACAGATTTTAACTGATCACAAAAAAAACAAGCATAGTCAAATGTATGTATTTTTATTACCAAATCAATACTGAAAATCATAGATCAGGAAGCAACCCTTCTCCAGTATTTGATTCATTTTTAATCCGAGTGTACACACTTCCTGAGAAGGAAGAGAGAATAAAACTGCTGGTATGAAAAGTTCAAGCCTGGTTCTGCATGACATCCATGAAAAAAAAAAAAAAAATAGTCAAAATATCCAGACACCTCTCAACCTGTGGAATTATGAAATAACAGGAATCAGTCAAAACCCATCTGTACAAATAATTGAGGTCCACTGCAGGTGTCTGCAGTTTTATATAACAGAAGGACAGCTTGCCATCATAAGCACAGTAATTCCAGGTTTCCAACCCCAAAAGAAAGGAACAGTGACATTATAAACCAAAGTGATCAGCTTGTGCTTGTGCTAACCACACAACTTATGTGTCATAATAAGGGATGGCCTAGACAGACAAGATTACAAGTCTTGCTGTTACACTGACTCAAGACAACACATAGGAAGACAGTGCCCCAACTCCAAAAGCTACACTGAGAAAAACACCAGGGCAACCAATTTAAAAAATAACAACAAAAAAATAAACATTAAGACTTCTTTAGTGTGTTTAGTGTTATTAGTGTGTCTGTGAAACCAACACAATGATTTTATCAGCAAGGAAGGCAAACAATGTGAAGAAATAAGAAACAAACTGCAGTTTGCCTCACACATTGTGAGATTGTTCAGGGCCCAACTCATTACAAATATGGAAGCACACACTGTAAACACAATTTAGAGTAAACATGGGTGGACACACGGTTTAACAAATTATAAGTACACTTGGAACACAAATAAATAATGAACTCCATATTAACATACATACAGTATATTGCTCCTTATTTCAGAGGACACGAAGCCCACCCACACACATACAGTAGACTTAAAGCATGACTGCCGACCCCAATTCAACACGACTGAACCCAGTTACATTTAAATTCAAAATGTACAAATCACTTGTTTGTGCTTTGTCCCTCTCACGCTCATTCACTCACCAACACTGAGGATGCTGGGTGGTTTCAATCTGAGACATGAACGATACCTTCATACATATTGTTCTCAATTACCTCAACAGATTAGGCCTCATACAAGAACTACATGTAGCTTCAATCTTCAAAGTGCGTAAGAGCAAATGTTCTACTTAAAATCATTGTGTTGGAATTCTGAAACGTTTTCCTGTCTCGGATTTAAATGCTGGCAACAAAAAAGGTACTTCAGACATTCACTGTCACATAAAAAATACATACTATTTACTGAATTCCTTAACTTTTGCTAACTTCACAATTTCATAAAGATCCTGGTTGAAATGAATTAATAAACACATTGAAATTAAATTGTGTCTCTCTTGGTGGCAAAACTAGCTATGATAAATCATTATTGGTGTTAAATACTGGGAAAAAAGGGCTGTTCAAATATTTTTCCATCATAAATACGCATTTTATTACAACCAGCCTAATAATATCTAGATACCCTCAAAAAGACCCTTAAAGTATATTTGAGAGTATGTTCATGGATGAGGCCCACTGTTCTTAATTCTCCGATAAAATAAATTCACATGAACATAACAGAAATAAATACAGCACTTAATATAAAATGAAACATTCTCTTTGGAAAGAAAGGCTCAAAACTGATTATAATCAGGAAAATAGTGAACCAGTTGGTCAGTGAAAAGACAGTTTTCCTCTGGTCGAGTCCTTTGCTCTTAAGATGATGAGGAGATGAGCAGCGGTCCCCCTGAATTACAGCCTGCTTCACCCTGGGAAGCAGCAACTGTACTGGAAGATCCCCTGCAAAATTAAATGGCACACCACCCGACCGGAAATCCTGGAGAAAACCCTGCTGCAGAGTCAGGGACAGCGGCTGTGGTCTTCCTGCATATCAGCCAATGGCGAAATTCTTTGCCTCACTCCAGCTTTGACATCTCATATCTGGTTGTCATGATTTCCTGGCAAATAATATTCAAAGTTTAACTATACATTTTTGTCCAGACTATCAAGGTTTAATTTTTACTTTCAGAAAGAAAACCAATTGTGTTGCCTGTTATTATGCTACTACATGACTGTAGAGGACGCAATGACCCATTTAGCTAGCTTTCCATACTTACACAGCAGTTCACAGTGATAACAGTGGCAACTTTACCACTCAAAAATTTTTAAACAATGAATGCTAAAAGACTAAGACTACATTTTCTTAGCAAAAACTTGCAATGTACAGCTAGCTGAGCCTGAAGCTCCTTAGTTACTGTTGCTACACCTGTCAAGCTTTACATTCTGGCAGAGCACATATGAAGTTCACAAATATAACAACTACTTTACCAAAATAAAATAAAACATTTTAAACAATGGATCCTTAATTTGAGACAGAGGTAGACAAAAGCAGTCTTCTCATTTCTAGCCGGCTGAAATCACAACAACTGCTGACAGCTTTTATCAGCTGTAGTTGTCTAGCTGTGGTACTTTAGAGCCACGATACCTTGCTGCTGCACGGGCTGTGGGAAAAGCATTTTGTCACCACTAGTTGGCAAGGCAAATTGTTAAGACTGAGTGCAGTTACTCTATCGCAGCAGCATGCATACCACTTCACATGTGAGGAAATCCAAAGTGTGCTGTGCCTAATTACTGTTGATTGAAGATTGGACACTCCCAGCTTGGGGGAGGGGTTAAGCGAACAGCCAGTTAATATGTGTTTGATTTCAATGTAGGTCTGAACAAACAATGAGCTTAAAATCTCCCGAAACTTCACCATGGGTCCTGTCACTGTGTCCTGAAATCAGCCCTACTATTGCCACTTAACCAGCAACTCAAAATTATCAATCAAGGATTTCTTTCTTACTGT